TATGTACATATGTATGCTATGTATGTGTGTGTATGCAACATATGTATTTACATAAAACATATATACTGCTGCCTATGCTGTAACACATGCATATAACATTTCAGTGATCCATATTGTCTTATCTATGTTCACATACAGAAATACCATTATCTCCTCTTTAATCTTATTCCGATAGATGCTGAGACAAACTTGGCCACCAGAAACAATCAGGGCATGGAAGGAAAAAGCAAAAGGAAGAGGACCCTGAATCTAAATGTACAAGAGGCCACGTGGGAAGGTAAACCAGCTATCTTGATTCAATGGCAGGAACATCCTTTGACATGGAGCTGACTCTTTGAGGCTCACAATTTAATTGAGGAAATGACAACCAGAAACAACCAGAGCAAAACAGAGCAGTAAAATCCATCAGACTGTGTGATCTAGGAATAACAGCTACAGAAGTTTAAAGACAAGAGAGAGGGGCGCCTGGGTGGCTCAGTAGTTAAAGCCTCTGCCTTCGGCTCAGGTCATGATCTCAGGGTCCTGGGATCGAGCCTCATATCAGGCTCTCTGCTCAGCAGGGAGCCTGCCTCCTCCTCCTCTCTCTCTCTCTGCCTGCCTCTCTGCCTACTTGTGATCTGTCAAATAAATAAAAATCTTTAAAAAAAATAAAATAAAATAAAATAAAGACAAGAGAGAGCATGAGGAACAGCATCGTCAGGAAAGCTCCTCGGAGGCAGGACGCCAAGGGCTGAGACGGATGAACAGCATTGGGACAGCAGCGGAAGGAGGACAGTTCAGGTAAAATCATGTAGCAGGAAGAGACAGCAGCTTGAACAGCATGGGATCTGCCCTGGAACAAAAAAGCTCACTGTTGGGGGGCCTGGGTGGCTCAGTGGGTTGGACGGCTGCCTTCAGCTCAGGTCGTGATCTCAGAGTCCGGGGATCAAGTCCTGCATCAGGTTCCCCACTCAGCAGGGAATCTGCTTCTCCTCCCTCTGCCCGCTGCTCCCCTTGCTTGTACTCTGTCAAATAAATAAAATCTTAAAAAAAAAAAAAAAGGGTTGGGGGGCACCTGGGTTGCTCAGTGGGTTAAGCCTCTGCCTTCAGCTCAAGTCATGATCTCAGGGTCCTGGGATCGAGTCCCGCATTGGGCTCTCTGCTCGGCAGGGAGCCTGCTTCCCCCTCTCTCTCTGCCTGCCTCTCTGCCTGCTTGTGATCTCTCTGTCAAATAAATAAAATCTTGAAGAGGGGAAAAAAAAAAGAGAAGAAAAGCTCACTGTTCACCATTGCTTAGCCTCTGGGAGAGCTAATGGGTCTCCCAAAGAGCCTGAGGAGAGGGTACTGCACCCTACGCCAGCGAGCCTCCTAACCTGGCCGCCACGGCTCTCTCACGCCCACCACATCGTTGTGACTGCAGGAGGTGGTACTGCATATAAAGCAAGAGGAAGGGCCACTGGCAGGATCCGGGCCCCTCACCCCGCTTTGCCTACCCTCCCACTCTTTCATTTTCCTCCCACCTTTTCCAACATGATCAACATTTACTCAGCACCAACCAGGCAGGAAATTGGAGAAAAAGAGCAACAATCTCCTTGGGGAGTTAGCTGTGAAAAATAGCTAAGACAGAAAGAGCTAAGCACCAAGCAAGTCATATTGCTATTCGTAGCCAAGGAAGGAGAGACAGTGAGTGCTAATCAGGCTGGTTGGGAAAGGTTTCTTGGACTCACCGGTGCTGGCCAAGCCTTGGAGGAAAGTTGAGATTCACAAGGCTGAGAGTTAAAAAGTTGTATTACAGACAAGAAGGTATACATGACAATGGGAATACTCCTAACACTACTGAACTATATGGTTTAAATGGTTAAAGTGGCAAATGTTACCTGTATTTTAATTAGTTTCAAAAAAACTTTAAAAAAATTTAAATACAGGTGCTTACTTAAAAAAGATAAGAAGATAGGAAAACACAACTGTCATTTGTAGCACGTGAGAAGCCAACCCAACTGATTTTGTAGACGGTTCATGTAGCGTGGCGATCAGGAAAGAACCCAGTCAGCTCGAAACCAGACTGTGGAAAACCTCACGCCAGGTGGCACTTGGTTCTCTGCACCAGGGTTTCTAACTTTGTGGTCCAAGGATAGGCTTTAAGTTTTGGCCCATGAACACCCTGTAACACATTTGAATGTTCACTTCTATGTGTGTTTTGATCTAGGAAGAGGGTAAATATCTTTCAGATTCTCAAGAGGGCCTATGACTCAGAAACCTTGGAAACCATTCATGTGGGCAACTGGCAGACTGGTCTGTGTAGGGATGGGGCAAAGGGGTTGAGGTTATAGGACTTGAGTCCATTTCCCTTGAGACTTTCTCTTCACTATACACCACAGACAGTATTTAATGAACGGACGCCAGACCTCTCTTCAGTGGTTTCTTACTCACTAGTATTTACCAGAGCTACCGGTAGATGAGAAGAACTGCTCATCAGAGAAAGGTGCTGACACTTACTGTAGAAAAGAAACTACCAGGGACACCTGGATGCTTCCGTTGGTTGGGTTTCTGCCTTCCAATTGGGTCATGATCTCGGGGTCTTGGGACCATGTCCCACATTGGGCTCCTTGCTCGGCAGGGGGCCTGCTTCCCCCCCCCTTGCCTGCCGATCCCCCTGCTTGTGCGCTCCTTCTCTCTCAGATAAATAAATAAAATCCTTTAAAAAAAGAAAAGAAAAGAAAACTACCAGAGGGTGAACAAAGGAGAGAACCCAGTATAGGGGATAGGAGGTCAAGAGAAAGAAGCCAGGAGGGGAAAGTCCTAGGGAGGATGGAGAGGTTACCAGTGTCCAATACAAGGGAATAAGAAAGATAAGAAATGAAAGAAAAAGATTTCCAAATTCAGTGGTCTTCAGATGCGTGGTTTCTGTAGGGTAAGGAAAGAAGAGATCAGAGAGTAAGGATATGGTATCCAAAGCCGGACGCGTGTAGAGGAGGGAGGTGTTACTGATAACTATGTCAGAACAACAGGAATTAAAACGAGGGCTGTCCCGGGCAAGCAGATACACAGTTCGTGACCTCACTGAGGAGGAAGTTAGTAGGCCACCCGGAAAGGCAGCAGAGGCCATCCATGAACCGAAGGATTTGGCTGTGCAAAGAAAAATAGGATAGGAGTCAGCAGAACTAGTAGGGCTAAGAAAAGGCCTTATCAGTTACTTATGGGGCAGGCAGGGAAGGTTCTGGAGGTTTTAAAGAGGGCAGGGAGGAAACACACGAGAGCACTGTGCATTCTCCAACGACTTCCTGATGCTTTCTTGCGTGAACGTTGACCACGGGACTTCAGTCTTCTAGGAAGCAGGAAGGAACAGAATACACAGGAGCGGGGAGAGGACTTTCTTTCTTTGAAACTACACAGAAGGAGAGAAGAAAACACAGCATGACCAGAAAGGGCAGGCCAGAGTGACTTTCTTCAACCTAGTGAGCATCCGAGGTGTAGCTGCCAGAGAAGCCGTCATCTCCAAATTAGCTTCCCCTTTGGCCTTTTCTTCAAGGGCCAAGAAATTAATACAAAAGTGAAGTTAGGAGTTCTTTAAAGCTGATTCCTATGTAGCCTGCCAGAACGAGAACAATAAGGAAATATATCCATCATGCAAAATATCCTTTCATTCGGGGCGGAGCACTTATCTATTTAAAATTTCATTTTAGATACTGCTTGGGGGTTACAGAGAAGTCAGGGGAACACTCACCCAGCTAAGTGTAAACAGGATGAAAAATAAAAATAAAAATAAAAAAATAAACAGGATAAGAAAACAATGTTGGTGTCAGGATAAAAAGATGCTACCATACGGATAATGTGGGCAGAGAGGAAACTGTCAGCCAAATGTCAGAGGGAGGTTAAATAATAAAAAATAGCATTCAAGCATTCATCTATAGGCAATTCTTAAACTACAACCAGGCAAGTCATCCAAACTTAGCACACACTCACACAAAGAGGAAGGGATGGTGTTCACAGAACAGAGATGGGGCCATCAGGAAGAAACTAGCTGTACTATGCGGCAGTACCACAGGGTCAGTAAATGGCCAACCGCAGGAAATTAGAAGGCATGAATCATACCCTAGAACGAGAAAGTCAGAGTGTGTATTTAAATAATCAGATGGACAGGTTATTTACTATAAAAGTCAGTTTATTTTCCCTTCCTGTGTTCTGTATTTTCCCTTTTTTGTCAGTAATGAGGCATTAACTGATTGGAAATCTCCTTGATTAAATAACATTACCAAGTTCATAAATTCACACACCACATTTTAGAGTATAAAGCAAGAAGTTGAAAAATATTCCCTAACCCAACACCAATTAGGCAGCCCTCAAAATTGCACACTTTCCCCCTAGTTCGTGTCCATAATTTAAAATACATATACAGAATGACCTAAAAATATTGATAATTAGTATAGAATTCACAGCCTTGAAGACATACACGCTACAAACTTCTAAGGAATAGACACCTAGTCCCCAGGCCCTAGTAACCGGTTGATGTGATTCAAGGTCACATACTTAACGCTTACTAGGACAAAAGGTCTTTCCTTTGTCTCTAATTCTAGTCTTCTGCTGAGGTAACTCAAGGAACCCAGTAGTGAGAAAGCTCAATTCTCTGAAAACAGGCCAAAGCCGATTAGCGTCCTAGTGGATCCTAACATTCCCAGAGAGCACATCTGGGGTTGAGGACTTCGGTTGTGAGCTATACCTTGGAATGTTCATGAAAACAGATGATGTACCTTATGGTCCTTGAAAGGAAGACTGAGTACTTCCAGGAGTCAAAGTGACTTGTGAATGAAGACAGAAGAAAACAAGATGACAGTAATTTGAAGGTATTTCTGCTTCTGGAGCTGACTAACTTTAGATCAGATACAGAGTGACTGAGCCCGTCACCACATAGTGCCATTTTCCCACCGCTGTTAACAAAGGGGTTCTCTGTCCAAGGCCGGCTTGTGCTTGATGCAGTGTGCGCACTCTGTCCACCAGGACTGGAGGCTTCAAAGCCCAACTGCTCTCTACAGACTCATTATCAAAGCAGAATCCAGCGATCCTCCCCTACTCATGGAGCCCATCTTTGATGCAAACCACGTGCAACTGTCTTGTGGCCACTGAACTTTCCAGGCTGGAGAATTGGGGTCCAAGTCCAAGACAGTAATTCAGGTTACAAGGATAATCTCAACAGGCCAAATAAAAAGGCTGGCAGCTTCACAGGCCACTCAGTACGTTTGCGAAGCAGCAATGAAAATCACCCACAGTAACTCATGTAGTGCAGAAAAACAGCCCAGCCTTCCCCACCGGTCAGCAGCTCAAGTGGCCGACACTGCTGAAAGAGGCTTGACAATCTGAGGTTTTGCTGGAGCTCCTAAGACAACTCCCAATAGGGTGAATTAAAAGAAATAACAGTCCTGATGTGTCTCCCATTGTTCTTCTCTTCTGTGGTCAACACTCACTCACTCAGTACGTGAGCTTGTCGTCTTTGCATGAGATAGCAGATTTCCCTCACTATTAATGGCGAGATAAATAAAATTGTACAACTTGTCTGTGAAGAGAAAAAAGCATTAAATATGCAGTGGCAATTTAATTAACCCTGTTAGAGCACCATGAACATAATAATGAATGTGGACAATTGCATTAATTTCGACTCCATACAAAGGTAACTCAATCTTTTCCAATGAATTAGAAAAAAATTTGGAAAATCAAGGTTAATACGTTTTTTAAAACTTTATGTTACATACTCTCCAGGAAAAGAACTAAGGCACAGAAAATTAAATAATGTGCCACAGGCAGAGCAAAAAAATGGTACCGGAGCTCACTTTATTTATTTTTTATTTTTTATTATTTGTTTAAGTAACCTCTGCACCCAGTGTGGGGCTCAAACTCCTGACCCCAGGATCAAGAGTTGCACACTGTGCAGACTGAGCCAGCCAGGCGCCCCTGGAGCTCACTTTAAGAACAGTGCTTCTCATAAGAGATCCAGTTTTTTTCTAGTACGATTTCTTGTATGATCACATAGCAGGTTCATCAGGAGACATGTCCCTCTTTAGCACAGATGTCAGAAGTAGAACACAGAGACATATGGCCCAGTCTTTAGAAGGCGGAAGGCAGTTAGGCAGAAGAAGCATCCTCTGTGACAGCAGAGTACATAGCCTTAAGGCAGCTCCAGGGAACTTGGGAGCTGAACTAACCCTGGGCTCCTTGGACAAGGCTAGAGGACCATGGCTGGACGTGGGCCCCTTGAGGCTGTCTCCAATTAGGATGCACTAGATTTAGGGCTGGGATACAAACACATCCGCTCGTGGATGAAGCAATCGCCCAACCCTCTCAGGGAGACCTGTCTCGAGCACTACCTCACCAATAAAGCAGGAGGGTAGGTCACATACTCACTTAACAGAGAGCAACATTTTAAAAGTATAAGGCATTGTTCTGAATTGGCTATTTCCCAGAAAGTACACAATCCCAGCCAGGAATGTTTAAGGTACGACAAATATTTTCTCAAGAGACTCTCTTCATTTTAGAACCTACATACCACAGTGTTAATTATAGTAATGTTTTTTTTTTGAGCCCCGTGTTGCTTGGTGTATCCTGTAATTTCCTTCAGAATTCCCAAACTAAATCTAGCAGATAGAGAGTACCCCAGGGAGAGTACACCGATTAATACTTTCAATAAATCTCTCACCACTTTTTCTAGAAGTATAAACGACAATATTCATTAGGCTCAGGTCAAGGGCAAATGAGAAGACCTGTTCCCACCCTGAAAAAAGAATTTGTCATTTAGCCTCATGAGATGTTACTCTTCACAAAAGGCTCACCAACAGCAATCAGCAATTGTGCTCATTTAAGAAGCGATCAGAGTAAATGCTTTGAACTAAATTTGTAAAAAAACCACGAGTTAAAAAAGGCACACACTCACTTACCATGAGAATGAAAAAGTAGAACACCCACATCCATCCCAGGTTGTCCTGGATCAAAGACACTAAATACTACAAGGGAGAAAAAGAAATTACAATATAATCCTTTGTAAATTAATCAAACGAAGTAGCTGAAAGGGTAGGTTAAACACAGCTCTTCCAGAAAATGCGAAGGGAGTTAGGATTTGTAGAATGGTTTCCGGTTCGCAAAGCTTTCCCGTGTGTGTTCCTACTTAAAGACACCTGGCCTTCACCTTGTAAGCCGGCAGAGTCCAGCACAAACACAGCAGAAGAGACGACATGACTACAAGGTTTATTTTTGTTCACTTTGCCAATAAGAGGAAGATGAACATCCTCAAGCCACTTCTGTGTAATTGTTCTTTCTCCCAATGAGAGGTACTTTAATTGATGCTTTTAAAAACAGTTTGTCTTTTAAGCATGTTGCCCATTTTTCAATGCTGTTATTTAGACTCAGAGGATTTCTATACGGCTTTAACATTCTACAGCAAATTCTTTTACTTTATTCCAATCACTGAAAAGAATCTAGTAGCATTTGGCCCATTTTCTTTTTCTATGATAAAATGTGTATGATAAAAGTGGCCATTTTAACCATTTTTAAGTGTACAATTCAGAGGCGTTACATACGCTTACGGTGTTATACCACCATCCCCATTAACTATTCCCCAAATTTTTCATCACCCTAAACACCAAGTTTGCACCTATCAAGCAATAACTCCCCACAAGCCCCTCTTCCCTGGTAACCTCTGAGAATTTGCCTGTTCTAGAGATTTCATGTTCAGCGGAGTCACACAGTGTTTGTCCTTCCGGGTCTGGCTTATCTCAGCGTACTGTCTCCAAGGCTGCAGCACATGTTGGAAGAGCGTCCCTTTTTATGCCTGGATAATAGTCCACACTGTGGACATGCCCCCTTTCGTCTGTCCTGTCATCAGCTGATGAACGTTCGGTTTGTTTCCACCTTGTGGTTATTATGAATAACGCTGCCATGAACACTGGTACACACATGTCTGAGTCCGGTTTTCAGTTCTTTAATTCCTAGGAGTGGATCTGCCAGGTCACACAGTAATTCCGTGGTTAACTTTGTGAGGCACCCACCAAGGCATTTTGCACAGCAGCTGCACCATTTTACATTCCCGCCAGCAACGTAAGAGATCCAGTTCCTCTACATCCTCGGAACTACTTGTTCTCTTCTGTCGTTGTTCTTAAAATGACAGCCATCCTAACAGATGTGCAGTGGTATCTCACTGAGGTGTTTTTTTGTTTTGTTTTCCTCACTGAGGTTTGGATTCACATTTCCCTAAAAACTAAGGATGCTGAGAATCTTTGCAGGTGCTTCATTGCCCATTTGTACATATTTGTCATGAAGATTTGTCCCTATAATTTCTTCTAAGAGGTTTTATAGTTTTCGTTCTTAAGGTTAGGTACTGATCTGTTTTGTGTCAGTTTTTGTCTCCGCTGTAAGGCAAGGGCTCCCCATCTTCAACCTGCTTGTGTGTATCCAGCTTCCCCAGCACCATTTGGTGAAGAAACCATTCTTTCCCCATTGAATGGTCTTGGCACCCTTGTCAAAAATCAACTGACCAGGGTGCCTCAGTGGCTGAGTTGGTTAACCGTCTGCCTGCAGCTGAGGTCACGAATCCAGGGTCCTGGGACTGAGCCCTGTGTTGGGCTCTCTGCTCAGCGGGAAGCCTGCTTCTCCCTCTCTCTCTGCCTGCCGCTCCCCTTGCTGTGCTCTCTCTCCGTCAAGCAACTAAATAAAATCTTAAGAAAAAAAAATCGACTGACCACAGATGTTGAGTTTTACCCATGTTCTTCCATCACACACTACCAGTGAAATTTATAAGCGGAAAAAACCAAAAGCAAAACAAGTGAGTGATGTAGCGTAAATTACACAACGGAAAGCAAAAAAGCAGAGGTCTAGTCGCCTGTTGAAGGGCTCATAGCAGCGCTCCCAAGTCTTTCTAACACTTTATCTTTCTTTTAAACATCTTCATTGACATATTCACCCATTTAAAGTATACAACTCAATGGTTTTTAGTGTATTTACAGAACGGTGCAACTATTACCATAATCTAATTTTAGGCCATGTCTATCACCAGCCCCCTCCAAAACATGCTGTGCCCATCAACAGTCACTCTGCAGAACCACCTGTCCCCAGGCAACCACTAATCTAATTTCTTTCCTATAGATGGGCCCATTTCAGATAGCTCATATGAATGAAATCATTCAAGTACACAGTCTTTTGTAGCAGGCTTCTTTCATGGAGCCCACTATTTTTTAGATACATCTATGTAACATCTGTCCATTTCCACTCTTAAGGGCCAGATACCATCTTCAACGGCCAAATACTGCTCCGTCGTATGAATACGCACATGCCGCTTCTCCATTCCTCAGTCGATGGACATTCGGTTTCCCACTTCTTAGATGTGAGGAGTAACCCAGCTACGAACACACATGTGTCCAGGTGTTTATGTGAACATTTTTTGTCATGTTTTCTTGGACAGATGCCACGATTTAATCTTACTGAACCCCTATGTATTAAAAACATATGAAGCCACTGGGATCACAAAAATGAAGGAAACAGTTCCTGTTCTCAAGGACATGCAGAAGCTGGCATGGACAAACCAGCAAACGTGATCCACCGTGACAAGCCCTCTGGTAGAAGTAGGCACCAACCTCTATGGAAACCAAGAGACCAACTCATTCTTGTGAAGTTAAGGGAAGGTGGGGAAAAAGCTGTTCAGGGTAAATTAGGAGAGCTGGGACAAAGCTCATCAAGTTTCTAATATTAAGTCACAGAGTCTGGAATCTCATATCCCACGCAATGGGAAATTATTCAAAAATCAATATGGAGGAGGAATGAATAAAGCCTAACTAACAATGATTTACTCCAGATCTTATTTTCCCAAACACCAAACTGAGCCTAATGCTGACCCAAGTTCATAGTTAGGGATCCAAATACTGGCAGGTCAGACATTCTTAATACAAATAAACTCCTAGAGGAGCACCTGGGTGACTCAGTCGGTTAAGCAACTGCCTTCAGCTCAGGTCATGATCCCCGAGTCCCAGGATTGAGTCCCGCATCACACTCGCTGCTCAGCGAGGACTTTGCTTCTCCCTCTGATCCTCCCCCCTTCTCGTGCTCTCTCTCTCTCTCAAAGAAATAAAAATCTTTAAAAAAAAAAAAACCAACTCCTTGAAATTCTCATTATACAACCCACCTGTTTGATTAATGAAGAAAACATCAGGGAGAAAGGATAACCGAAAATACAATAATACCAGAAAAGGATATCCGGTACAATCACCCCTTGCTTTTATATAAAGACCTCTGAACTGAAGCCAGTATCATTTTTGGTTCCTACTCCAACACACAATAAAGTAAGCACATTTCTCCTACTTTTGCTAGATTTTTTTTTTCTCCCTTCAGTCTCATAATCAAGTACACTAAGCACATCAATCCTATCAATCATTCATTCTATAGTCATTCAACAGATGTGGACACTTCTACTGTGTGCCAGACATACCACGCCCCCTCCCTGCACATACTGCGGCTATCATGGAGCATAGTAACAAAGAAATACGTAACATATGGCTGGGCAGTGATGAGCATTAAGATGGCTTATTTTTCTCAATACTGGCTCTCTCATTAACCACCAGCAATCAGACGTTGCTGCTCTATCCCCACAGAGCAAGCAAAACAGCAATATTTAAGGCCGGTAATGACCTGAGTGTCAAAACTAAGAGACTTTTTCCTCCCATTCTCCTTCTCTGGCCCCTTTACACCTCTGATCTCACTGACTAACACCTCCCTTTGCCTAATGGCACTGCTGACTTCCTATGTCTTTGACCACTGGGCAACCCCTAAAGTCTTGCCTGTATTTTCTTTGCCCATTAAACATCTCATTAACTTTCAAAGTTTCATCTATTTTATCTAATGCAGATGATTCTCTGATGCTTATTTTTGCAAAATCAGCCCTCAATGTCCTGGAAAGGTATACCCTAGGAGAGGCATGAGTCACGACTGTCCTGAGGAAGACAAGGCTGAATTTAAGCCTTTGAGTAGTTCTGACTACTTAACTGTAGGCCAGTCTTAGCCTAGACAATCAATTCAAGTCTAGCATGCATGCAAATCACCAGGAAGGCTTGCTGAAACAGATCGCCAGGTTCTAATTCAGCAAGCCTGTAGTAAGCTTAGTGTTCCGTACTTTAAATAACCCAGATGATTCTGACACAAAACATTATGAACCTCCATTTGAGGCACAGTCATTGGAAGCAGAGAAAGTGAGAGCAGCTGCCGAGTCCATGGAAATTTCTAGTGGGATCCATGGGAGTACATGTGTGTCTGGTATGGGAGAGGAGGTAGGGTGTGCATGCCACGTGGGGGATAACGAGATACTTGTCTTGTGGCCCCTCGGAGGGCCAAGTTCAGGCTGGAAAGAAGGGAGCAGCAAACTGAGGCTCTGTCTTATGAGGTGTCAGCTTATTTCCAGACAGAAAGAATCTGGAAATAAAAGTGGAAAGAAGAAGCTGAAAAATGAAAAGGGACCTTCCACATTATGTCCTGTCAGCTGACCCCAGAGAAGATTAGGAACCTAAGGTGGACAGAAAAGCATACTATGAGGCACAAGAGTGCCACCTGCTGTGGCCCAGTGTGCAGGTGTAAATTCTTCCACCGACGAGAGACTACTCACCCCTCAATTTCAAGCCCTCTCTTGCTCCCTCACCTGGCCCACGGCAGCTCCAATGCTTCCAGTTCCGTCAACAATTCCTGTGACGGTCGCCAAAGCCTCACTGCTCCCTTGGATCAGCTCCTGACGACCCAGGTCCGCAGAAATAGCAGAGCTAATCATGTTAGAAGGTCCGCCAATAAAAAACCCTGAGGTCATAAACAAAACAGGTTCTCATTAAAACACTATTCATCCCACCGCTAGAAATCCACTGGACAAGACAACTCTTATCCTAACAGTTTAATCAGTACATTGGACAGAAACAGCAAAAGAGGGAAGAGGAAAAAAGTACAAATGAAAACGCTTCCAGATCATGTTATCTTCAAACTAGTTAGCATCCACTTTCCTGAAAGCCCTACTTGAATTATATGATACTCTGGTATCTTTTATAAAAACCAAAGATGCAGGTAATACAGTAACTATACAGCCTTTCTAATCCTGTCAAGGCTACATTCAGTAATAACTAATTACACTCGCTTGCCAGCTTCTACTACACTAGAGTTGTTATCAACGGAGTATCTGACTACCCAAATTCAACCACACATACTGGGAAAAAAAAAAAAAAAAGAGAAAAGGCTCTGTAGGCAGTGCAGACGGTTCTAGCAGCCACTGTTCTCCGCGAGGCTGTCCAAGGACTGGGCAGGAATTGGCCCACGTGACTCGGTCCACAAGGTAGCAAAGTTCCGAGCGCCTCACGTACCATGAGCCGCCCTCAATATCCTGAGTAGGAGCTAAAGTTTAAAAATCCTCTTTATATACCATGGTCCCTAATTATACTCAACTGTTTCATCTGGTGCTCACATGGAGAAATACTGACCAATTCCAGCACAGGAGGAAAAACTTTTTGAAAGCTGGGGAATTGGTTTCCAATGTGGCGTCTTCCTAAACTACCTCCGCAAGTACTACGGGAAGCTGCAGCAGCAATCAAACATTTCAGAAAATCTCTGTCAAAGGGGACTGCTTCTGTAGCAACAGGACTGAGGAGGTCACATAACAGCAGAGAAACAATCTGAATCTGAAGTAGGAAGCTTTCCTTTATAATGAAGGTTTCAGTATTACTCAAACTGAGGGAGCACACGGTTTCCCTTTCTTCCTTTTTATTTACAGAGGAGCAGGAACAGTATAGTGAAACAAAGCCACACCACGTACCTGTAACTGCCATCAGAAGTGCATTAATGGACTTATCGTTTGGAGAACCTACGAGAAAAGACACAGAAACAGCATGCTGACTTTAAAAGCAGATTACACAGGCCCCCACTGAACAGCACAGAAAGATCTGGATCTCAGTGACCTCACAGATCACTCCCAGAGACAACAAAGGGACACAACTCTTTCACCGCCTACTCCAACTTTTATTTGTCATGTCTGCCTCTTGCTGGCGCTTGAGCTAATGAGACTTCTAAAAGCTAAAGAAAAACTCTACTCCCATCTCAGCAGCATCTTCAGGGACATATACCAAACCTACTAATTACCATCTTTCCTCTTTTGAAACCTTTTCCCTTTTATTGTTTTATTGGCTCTAATGCTGGCCCTCTGGAGCCTACCCTCAAACAAAGCATATACACTCCCAAGCAAGCTTTTAAACAAACCAACAAAGCCGAAGAGATGCCAGTTTCCTCCCCAGCACAAATAAAACTACGTGATGATACTTTCACCAGGCATTTACAGGACAATACAAAGGTCTCCTATCAGCCTTTGTAGCTGGTCTCAAGCATCTCCCCAAGGTTGATGGCTGACTCATGGCAAATGCCTTAGTCCTGAGAGATCAGAAAAATAATTGCAAGGGGATACTCACGGCTATATCCAACGAGGGACCCAACGGCCAGAAGCAAGCTGAGAGCTAAAACCGGTGCTCTCTTCTGTAATATGTCAGAGATGAAACCTTGCAAAGTCCCACCTGCAAGTACCAAGAGCGCATCACAACCAAAATCAGTTACAATTTAGCTCCATTATCTGAAGCTTGCTCCCCACGTGCCCTCTCCCTGCTATCAGGCCCCTGACACTGGTCTATCCGAAAAGACAGCTGACTCTGCGAAACAGCTTCCTCCACAGCTTCCTTTAAGGAAGACGACCCGGCCGTTAACTGCCTCGATGGCTGACAGGGACAGGACACCATGAATCAGACAGGAAAATAAGGAAAAAAGAAAAAGTCATCAAACCCCCCCACTGTTCCTTGCTGTTCTCCCTTCTCAAACCAGCTATGAAAGCTTTTCCTGATTTTTCTGCTTTTTATTTTAATTTTCTTTTTTCTTTTCTTTTCTAAGAAACCGCCCATGCTTGTGTGGGAGCAGACAGAATTTTTTTTTTTAAGATTTTATTTATTTATTTGACAGACAGATCACAAGTAGGCAGAGAGGCAGGCAGAGAAAGAGAGAGGAGGAAGCAGGCTCCCTGCTGAGCAGAGAGCCCGAAGTGGGACTCGATCCCAGGACCCTGAGATCATGACCTGAGCCGAAGGCAGAGGCTTTAACCCACTGAGCCACCCAGGTGCCCTGCTTTTTATTTTAAAAGATGACTCATTAGGGGCTCAGTGGGTTAAGCCTCTCAGGGTCCTCTGATCTCAGGATCCTGGGATGAAGCCCCGGCCTGCCTCTCTGCCTACTTGTGATCTCCCTCTGTGTCAAATAAATTTTAAAAATCTTAAGAAAAAAAAAAAGATGACTCATTAAAGACCATGCCTCATGGGCTATTAGTAGCAGCCAATGAATATCCACTAAAACTAAATGCAGTGACTATGACTTGGTGATAATGAACAAGTCAGGATCTTTAGAAAGAGGTCATGTGAATCCTCTAAGCAACAAGGTCACATTTAGCTGTAGCCCCATTTAGAGCCACAGGGGCTATGGGACATCTGGTACATCCTCAGTGGACAGCAGGACCCAGAACTAAGTTCAGGTCTAAAGGTAGCAGCCTCACCTTTAGCTCTGTAACTAAGAAGAAGTGCAAACAAGTTCAAGTACAGTAACAGTGTATCACCTGAGGACTCCCTGCTGTCATGTGCGTAGGGCAGCTTAGCCTTACTGCAATTCTAAATCCAAGCATTACAGAAAGAATGTTACGATTCTGCCATAGCCATACAAGCAACACCCACTAAAATTCATTCTGTACAACTGTCTTAAAGTTTAAGAACTTGTTTATGCCTCCAGCCATAGCAAAAAGTTACTATTAAAATCTGCTATGTGCAACAGAGCAGTTGCAAAATACTCACAGAAATCAATCCCCACTATTATTCCCACCTCTATGATCTGACAAAATCTACACACTAAGCTAATATTTTCCCTTCTTTGGCTATGGGTGGTGGGAAAGGTGGGAAGTAGATAAAATGAGCACATTCACATTTTAACTTGGATCTCCAGTATACAATTAGCTTTAAACCTAAGATCTCACTGAAAGTGTGTGAAAGGGTTACATTTAAAGAGATCACACAGGGAAACATCCCTGTGCTTCCCAACACAAAAGAACTGATCCATAAACAAAGAACCGAGAAGAAAAGAGCTCTATAAATCACAGGCCTGCCGCGGGCTGGCTCTTCTTTTCCATGGATTCTTTTTTTTTAAGAGTTTAGCTGTTAACTGGTAGGACGGTTTAGGAAAAAATGGTTGTGGACTCAGTAATAAAACTTAAGATGATGTCAGATTTCATAACCCAGTAAAATACTACTAGCGACTAACTCTCATTATAGAAAAAGATGCATCTGGCATTACCTATAATTCCTCCAACATCGTACCAAATGGACAACTTGTCAGCTTCAGCCTCCTTCCATCCAAAGTTGTTACTCAGATAAAAGGGCAACCAGAAGAAGAAGGAGTAATTTACTAACTTCAGGCAGGCATAGGCCAGTGAGTACTACAAGAAAAACATTCAACTTTCGATAAGGAACAAACAAAAGCATGGCAGGACACAATTATTAATGTAATTAAAAAGCAAAACCATACACAAAAGTTTGGGAGGAAGAGTACGTGATTTTAAAATTACACACATCTATAAATTCCCATTTGCCTGACTTTACCTAGTCTCCCTCTTCTCTTTATCCACATTAGCTTCCAGAAAGGCATGTGCGGCAGGCCTCTGGAATAAAAATACATATGACTATTTCTTAATTGTCTCCAGTTTCTTCTCCTTTCAGTCCCCCGGTAGAAGCAAACCAGTGTTTTGAACCTCAAAGGCAGAGCACACACTCACATTTCTTTATTTAGACAAAGATAAAAGGTATTCATACCTATAACTATGATTAACCATAAGCAAAGAAAGCCAGTAAACATCACAGCTTTTATTCCAAGCAGCCCCACTTTTTTGGTTCTTCGACTTCCTGCAACATTAACATTATGAACAGTGGAGAGCAATGTGACAAAACTGTAGTTTCAAGGTCTAAGAAAAGACCCGACATTACAACTACTTTCACATCATGGTTTCCAAAAGCCTGGTATTCCAACAACCAGTGAAAAAGCAAGAAGCGTCTTTGGTGAGTCAGAAATGAAAGAACATGACCGTCCCAGGCCTTGCGCCTCTACTTTGAGGAATAAAAGTTGCAGCTGTCTTAGGAAGGCAGCAGTGCTAAGACTCCTATATTCAACACGTTATTAGCAGGAAATCCTGACATTCAGCATCAAAGGAAAAAGGGGGAGGAACAGAGAGGCTGACTTCAAAGGGTGTCTGGCTAGTATATTCTTTTCCCTGGAGCGGCCTATACTCCCTAGGTATCACTTGTTTTAAAACAGCTTCCCCTAGAGAGCCAAATCCCAATCATGAGGGTGTTTTGTCCAGACAGCCTGCTACAAAGACAAAGGAATTAAGTGAACTCGATTTCCTCTGTGTCCCTGCCCGTGTCAGGGAACAATTGCTTGTGAAATACAAAGGAGTAGCAAGAGTTTCATATTTAGTCACAACAGATGTAAGCTCTGTCCCAGAAAGTAAACTATTACCAGGAGAATATTTCAACAACTACTTAAAAACTACTAATCTTTAGCATAAGAACAGGCCTCAAGAAACTTGCATTTCGCTTGTATAATACATTGTCCTTCAGTTACAGAACTGTGGAAACTTACATTCTAACTCATATTTCACTACTGTTTGCAAATGTCAGTCCTGGCAGCCTGGGGGCACAGGCAGAGGGAACTAGTAAGTGCTAAGGACAACCACCTGCTGACTCTGAATCTAGCTGAGGGGTGATATTTGTAAAGCACCACTAGACAATAATATAAACAAAACCAGGTGCTTATTCACAATACAGTGACCCAACATTATAGACCCGGGGGTAGACCGGTTTACTTTCTGCTCCGTGGGAAGGGGAACTGAAGACACAAGGATGGGCTGAGTGACTTACCCCAGGCCTCACAGAGAGTTAGTGGGTAAGCTGGAAATATAACCTAGGCCTGTTAACTTCCACTCTCGTGCCTGCGTGCCCGAAACATCAAGACAGAAAAACTGCAGCAGAAGGGATTTAGTTCAGATGTTAGACAGTTTTCCTGACTGTAAAGGTTTTGGAAACACTGGAATGCATTACCAAGAAATACTGTGGAGTACTGTGTTCTGCACCTTTGAATAAAAGGGTATTTTTTTTCTAGAATGATAAGAATACAGGCAAATAAGGCAGACTTAAATGAACCATTCAAACCCCCTCTTGGTCGCATGTAATTTATAGTATTTCAACAGGTCAGAAAGAGCATATTTAGAAACATTAATTCTGCCTTCTTACTTGAATGCAGGGTCAGGGTCAGCCACTAGAGCTCACAGGCCAAACCTGTCCACACCCATTTGCTTCATACCATCCAGGGTTTCCTGTGTTCTACAGATGCGAGCAGCTGTGGCAGAGACTGTGCAAACCGCCCTCCTCCCTCCCCGCCCCCGCCCCGCCCCAGAAAGCTGAACACATTTACTACCTGGCTGTTCACAGAAAAGGAACACCCAACCCTGCATTAGAATGCAGATAAAATTTCAAGTTGTGCCACCCTAGATACAAGCTGAGGGGCACTATACAATATTACTCCGAACGTATATTCCTAAATAAAGTATCAAAGAGAAGCTAAATACTTCAAGATGCTTTATGGCAGGTAGAGGTAATATCCAGGATTTGATATCTCAGGAGCTGTGGTAAGGAGATCTGAACAGTCCTTACCGGGATAACTCCAGGAAGACAACAGGCCTGGTAAAAGCTTATTGCCTTGACCTGGGTAACAGTACTGCCTTCTTGGATGGAATAATTGGGCTCATATTCATCTTCATTTTCAGCACCATTAATTAATGGCCTGTGTGAATCTTCTTCAAAATTTTCTTCTGCCTCGATACCTGGGAGACCTAAAACAATAACAGCCTCGATTTATAGCGTGCCTTCTAGACGCCTGGCCCTATGCAAGGTGCTCTGCTTGTATCAATTACTCATGGGGTCGAAACTATTTTTATCTCCACTTTACAGAAGCAGCAACTAAGGCTGAAGGCCAAGGTTAACCAAGGTCGATTAAGATTGCACAGCTAATAGCAGATTCTACTTTACCTGGCTTCAAAGCAATGCTTTTTCTAATGACATTACACTATCTCTATTGCATTTAAGAAAATGTAAATTACACACTATTAAACTGACATGTCTCTTCAATTACACGCAAAAGACAGAATTGGACATCTATTTGCTTCTATGGTTTTGCTTGTATGTAACCACAGGTTTTAAGTATCAAACTAAATTACTTTTAGGTAAGTATCAAACTAAATTACTTTTATGAAGGGAAACAAATCTGTCTGAAGGAGTGAAATGAGAAACAGATCATGCTAATTTCCAGTCAGTGTCTCAATCACAAAACTCATTTGCAAATGGAGAGTTTTCCCTGAATCTAGGAAGGTGAGCCTCGCTCCCCTCAAACGTCTGCGGCTGTGCTCGGTCAGTCAACCGGTGTCTCCGGGACACAAACAGCAAATACCACTCCTTCAAACCCCTGAAAGGAGCTCACAGCTCTCCTAGGGAAAAAGAGACTGGCTGTGCCAGCCTCAGATTTCTCTTCGCCCGTAACAGCAAGACGTGCTGAACAGGAAGGACAGCTCCTCCTCACCAATTTCTTCTGGTGACACCAGGAGTCCAAAGAAGATGACGATCCCACCAGCAAACTGCACAGCCGCTGTCACCAGAAAGGCATACTGGAAAAGAGAGGAGAGAGGTGTTGCTTACACATCTGGGATACTGGTTAGACCATGTTCACTAGAAGCACACGTGGGGAAGGTAGAGGATGGGGGGCTGGGGGACGGGGGGACGGGGGATCGGGAAGGAAATGAACACTGAGTGCTCAGGCCATGCCAGGCACAGAGCTGTTTCACTTGTGTTTTCCACGCATTGTCCCCTGGCGGCTCAGAGAGGCCAGTTAAGGTCCCAGCCGCACTGAGTGGTACCACCACAATTGTGAAATCGGGACTGGCTCCAAAACCTCATTCTCTGTCCCACAGAGCCTCCCACCAGAGACAGTATCTGCCCTCGAAAATATTCTCTCCAGTTGAGGGGATTAAACAATACACCAAACAATAGTACAAGGCTTCATGTAGGCGAATAAAGGAAAAGGCCCAGTCCTAATAAGAAACACAGACCAAAGGAAACAGCTAATGATGCTGGCGCAGCAACACAGTGGCTCTAGGAAGAGCTGAGAAGGCAACTGACAGCCTGTCCCAGCACGCCTGAAGCAATGGGACAGGGTGGGAATGACAGAGAAAGCCTCCTGCATGGTCAAAGCAGGGGCTTCTGCTGAGGGACAGCTGAGAAAACCACTAGGAAAACGTGCAATCAAGATTAAAGAACTTCAGGGGCGCCTGAGTGGCTCATCGGGTTAAAGCCTCTGCCTTTGGCTCAGGTCATGATCCCGGGTCCTGGGATCGAGCCCCAACATCAGGCTCTCTATTCAGCGGGGAGCCTGCCTCCCCCACCCTCTCTGCCTGCCTCTCTGCCTACTTGTCATCTCTCTCTGTCAAATAAATAAGTAAAAATCTTTAAAAAAAAAAAAAAATTAAAGAACCTCAAAACCCAGGCTGCATAGAGGAATTTTATTTACTAGGGAATGGAGCCTGATGTGAACAGATGGTCTAAATTTCTGGAAAAGACAGTGACAAAATTAGTGTTTCCAGAAATCAAACCTGGGAGCTGCACCTGGGGTGAACCAAAATTCCCATCTGAGCCAATGAGCACAATCCAGATGCAAAACCAAGAAGCCTGGAATAAAGGTGAGTGGGAATACAGGAAGGACTTCTCATCGAGCCATTCTTCTGAGACCAAACACTTGATCAACTAGTTCAAGATTTACCTACTTTTTAAATGAGCAACTTACTTACTTTGAGTTATTTAGGTTTTTGAATACATCACACTTTCACGTAATCTAAGCAACAAAAAGTAGATCGATAGTAGTAAACAACCCCCCCTTCCACCTCTTCTCCCGTCCACTTAATTCCCATTTTCCTAACATATAACCATTGTTGCTATTTGATTTCTACTTTCCAGAGACTGTTTTAGAAACATACAGGCCAATACCAATACATACTCTGATTCTTTCTCTATTTTATAAAAATGGCATCATTCAGCCCACATTGTTCTGCACCCTGGCTTTCCTCACTTAACAAACCACAGAGAACTTTCCCTACCAAGATGCAGAGCTCGGGGCGCCTGGGTAGCTCAGTGGGTTAAAGCCTCTGCCTTCAGCTCAGGTCATGATCTCAGGGTCCTGGGATCGAGCCCCGAATCGGGCTCTCTGCTCAGCAGGGAGCCTCTTTCCCTTCCTCTCTCTCTGCCTGCCTCTTGGCCTACTTCTGATCTCTGTCTGTCAAATAAATAATAAATAAAATCTTTAAAAAAAAAAAACAAAACTACACATTCAAATCTTTTACCTCTTTTTCTGTGTATTGTTGGTCTTCTTATCAATTTGCAGGCATGCTTTACTTATTAGGGAGATTAGCTCTTGATCTGTAAGATGAGTTGCAAATACTTTTTCCCAACTGATTATACTGTCTTCAGACTTGGGTATTTTTCCCGTGAATAATTTCTGTGTTTGAAATTCTCAAAAGTTTGTCCATTTTCAATGTAAGCCTTGCCCACCCAAACACAGCTCTACACAGTTCTAAATGGCCACAGTATTATTTCTTAAAAGACAAAACATATTATATGTACTCAAGAAAAAGCTAGAAGGAAATACCTACCTCGTAACCGTACTGCAGAACAGAAGAAGCTAGGCACGCTCCCAAAATATTGCCCACCGAAGCACAGGCACTCCAGAGACCAAACACAACTCCTCGTCTAAGAGAACAGGGACACAAAGACGACAAGAGAATCAGAAGGAATTCTGGTGCAGTTCAAATACAAAATGGCCAAAACACTGAAAGTTCACATTCCAAAGAATCGACATTCTATATTAAGATTTTTTTAAAGTACACCCAAACAACAAAATATTCAGGTCACTTAAAGATAGTATTAAACTAGGGGCACGTGGTGGCTCAGCTGGTTAAGCATCTGCCTTCAGCTCAGGTCATGATCCCAGGGTCCCAGGGAATCTGATTCTCCCTCTCCTCCTGCCCTGGCTCTCTCTCTCTCTCTCTCATGTTCATACTCTCTCCCTAATAAATAAAAACTTAAAAAAATATATAGCTATTACACTGAAGTTCAATTTGGGGCACATCACTAGCCACTGCTAAGAGAAATTTGAAAGTAAGCCACAGATTAGGAGGAAATATTCGCATACTGCTTATCTAATAAAAGACCCCCTTCCAGAATATAAAGAACTCTCAAAAATCAGTAATACAAAAACAAACAATCCAGGACACTGGCTGGCTCAGTAGGTGAAGCATGCAACGCTTGATCTTGGGGTTATAAGTTCAAGACCAACACTGGGTGCAGAGATTACTTTTTAAATAGAAAACTAAATCGGGGCGCCTAGGTGGCTCAGTCGTTAAGCCTCTACCTTCAGCTCAGGTCATGATCCCAGGGTCCTGGGATTGAGCCCCATGTCAGGCTCCCTGCTCTGCGGGAAGCCTGCTTCTCCCTCTTTCACTCTCCCTGCTTGTGTACCCTCTCTGGCTGTCTCTCTCTCTGTCAAATACATAAAATCTTTAAAAAAATTAAAAATTTAAAAATTTAAAAAATTAAATCTTAAAAAAAATCCAATAAAATGTTAAAGAGTATGAATGTACAATCATCTCAAGATAAAAATGTTTTTGAAAAGAGACTTCATGCAGACAAAAACATGAGGCCAATAAGCACCTAAAAAGGTGTTCAACATCGTCAGACATTAGGAAAATATAAATTAAAATGACAATGAGGTACTACATACCTACTAGGATAGCTAAAAGTGAAAAGACCACACGTGTTGGCAAGAATACACAGCAGTTAGAGCCCTTACACTCTGCTAATGGGAATTTAAAATGGTAAAACCACTTTAGATGAGACCACCAGTTTTGTTTTTTTTTTTTTTTTCAAAGACCTTATGTATTTACGTGCCAGAGAGACAGCGCACAAGCAGGGGAGTGACAGGCAAAGGGAGAAGCAGGCTCCACATCAAGCAGGAGCCCTATGATGTGTGACGTGATCCCACGACCCTGGGATCATTACATGAGCCTAAAGCAGACTCATTTAATGGACTGAGCCACGCAGGCGTCCCGACCACCAGTTTCTTAAAAAGATAAACATTCACCTACCACATGACCCAGCCATTCTACTTTGACATATTCATCCAAGGAAAATGAAAGCATATGTTCATACAAGGATTTGTACACAGACGTTCACAGGAGCTTTATTTGTAATAGCCCAAAAGTGACAACAACCCAAACGTTCATCAACAGGTGCAAAGATAAACTGTGATACAACAGATTCCTGCTCAGCTATAAAAAGGAATGAACTATCTATGGATAGGACATGACTGGATCTCAGAATAATTACACTGAACTAAGCAGATAAGAAATAGTATATACTGTATGGCTCTACTTATATGAAATGTGAGAAAATTCAAATTAATCTAAAGTGACAGGGGCGCCTGAATAGCTCAGTCAGTTAAGCATCTGCCTTTAGCTCAGGTCATGATCTCAGGGTCCTGGGATCGAGCCCTGCGTCAGGGGGACGGTGTGGGGGGGAGGTCCCCACTCAGCAGGGAGTCTGCCTCTCCTTCTCCCTCTGCCTGTCCCCTTGTTTCTGCGCGCGCTCTCAAATACGTAAATAAAATCTTTAAAAAATAAATAAGTATTAATCTACAGTGACAGAAAACAGATCAATAGTTGCCTACAGATGGCAATGGGAGGGAGGGAGAAAGTAGCAGGAGGCGGGGGAGAGGAAATACCAAAGGGCATGACGAAACTTTTGGGGGTGATGGGTATGTCCATTGCCCCATGGTGGTTTCAGGAAGGTGTGCAGGCTGAAACTCATCAAATGGTACTTCTTAAATATGTGCAGCTTATTACATACTTTAATAAAACCATTAAAAACAAAAGGAAAAGAAAGAATGGGTAGACAGAGAATCTAGTGGAAGGAAAACTAGCTATTACAACAGTCCTGGAGAAAAATTATTAGCTCTGAACATAGGTAATGGCAGTAGAGTTAGTAAAAGAAAGAGGAGTTAATTTTTTTTAAAGATTTTATTTTAGTAATCTCTATACCCAATGTGGGGCTCAAACTCATGACCTTGAGATCAACAGTCACATGCTTTTCTGACTGAGCAAGGCATGTGCCCCATATTAATTTTTTTAACATCAAAACTTGTATTTTATTCTATTTGATACATATATTTAAATGTGTTTATTGATTTATAAGGAATTTCTATGCCCCACATGGGGCTCAAACTCACAACACCAAGATCAAGCATGGCTTGCTTTTCTGATGGAGCCAGCCAGGCGCCCCTCTATTAATAACATACTATGTAATGTCTAGATTTTTTAGCTCCTTAAACATTTTTATAACCTACTGAAACAGAAGGGGTCCTAGAAACAAACAGGAAGACAACACAGCAGAGTGAAAAATTTAGCTTTGGTTCAGAAGTCCTGGCTCTGTGGCTTCCAGCTGCACAATCTCAAGCTTGTTGCTACCCCAAGTGTACATGTTAGCGTGACCTAGCCCAAATCCACTTAAACACTGTGACGCTGGGGGTGCCTGGCTGACTCGAGTAGCAGAGCATGAACTCTCAGGGGTGTGAGTCTGAGCCCCACAACGGGTGTAGAGATTGTGTATGAATAAAACCTTTTTAAAAAATAAAAACTATGATGGGGTGCCTGGGTGGCTCAGTGGGTTAAAGCCTCTGCCTTCAGCTCATGTCATGGTCTCAGGGTCCTGGGATCAAGTCCCACATGGGGCTCTCAGCTAGGTGGTGAGCCTGCTTCCTCCTCTCTCCCTCTTTGCCTGCCTCTCTGCCCACTTGTGATCTCTGTCTGTCAAATAAATAAATAAAATCTTTCTAAATAAATAAATAAATAAAAATAAAAACTATGACCGTGATAAAGGAGCATGATTCATCCAAAGTTAACAGCTTTAATTTAAGGCAATGTCAACAGATCACTTAAATCCCTGGGGCCCCAAATTTTTCTACCTGGAAAACAAATAATTTGAACTAGATAATCTCTATGTTCTCCCCAGTACTCAAACACCCTGCCTGTTCCTCTAAAATATATAAAACCTAGCAAGAGGGTCCTGGAGAGGAGTCAGAAGGTCAGACTCTGAATAACACTGGCTGACCAAACACGATTTTAGAAGAAACTAGTTCAGGGGCACCTGGGTGGCTCAGTTGGTTGAGCAGCTGACTCTTGACTTTCGCTCAGGTAGTGATCGTGGGGTCCAGGGATCAACCCCCATGTTGGGCTCCATGCTCAGCAGGGAATCTGCTTCTCTCTCTCCTTTTGCCTCTCCCCTGGCTCATGCTCTCTGTCATATAAATAAAATTAAAAAAAAAAAAAAAAAAAGTAAGGGGCGCCTGGGTGGCTCAATCAGTTAAGTGTCTGCCTTCGGCTCAGGTCATGATCCCAGGATCCTGGGTTTGAGCCCTGCATCAGGCTCCCTGCTCAGTCGATAGCCTGCTTCTCCCTCTCCCTCTGCCTTTGCCCCTCCCCACCTCATGCCCTCTCTCTCAATCTCAAATAAATAAAATCTGTATTTTTAAAAATAAATAAATAAATTTTAAAATTAAAAATTTAATTTTAATTTGTTTAATAAATAAATTTATTTAAATAAATTTATAAATTAAATTACTTTAAATTAAATTTAAAATAAAATTTAAAAATTTAAGATGTTTTAAATAAAACAAAGTATGTGTCCAAGCGATTATCTTTGAGTGACAGGATTTCAAGTGGTTTGACCTTCATTTCTCTTTGTTCGTTTATATTATCTGGTTTATCCACAATAAACAGGAAGCCTTTGTCTAATTTTTTTTTTTTATAAACATATATTTTTTTCCCCAGGGGTACAGGTCTGTGAATCGCCAGGTTTACACACTTCACAGCACTCACCATAGCACATACCCTCCCCAATGTCCATAATAACCCCACCCCCCTCTCCCAACCCCCCTCCCCCCAGCAACCCTCAGTTTGTTTTGTGAGATTAAGAGTCACTTATGGTTTATCTCCCTCCCAATCCCATCTTGCTTCATTTACTCTTCTCCTACCCCCTTAACCCCCCATGTTGCATCTCCTCTCCCTCATATCAGGGAGATCATATGATAGTTGTCTTTCTCCGATTGACTTATTTCGCTAAGCATGATACCCTCTAGTTCCATCCACGTCGTCACAAATGGCAAGATTTCATTTCTTTTGATGGCTGCATAGTATTCCATTGTGTATATATACCACATCGCCTTTGTCTAATTTTTAAAAAACATGAATGGAAAAAAAATTACTTTGAAAATCTTGATAAAAAATAAACAGTACGTGAGCAGATAGCATCACCTACTCCAAAAGGAAACTGAAGTCTCACATGGGAACAAGAACCTCTTAAAATTAATTCTGTTGGGGCGCCTGGGTGGCTCAGTGGGTTAAAGCCTCTGCCTTCGGCTCGGGTCATGATCTCAGGGTCTTGGGATCGAGCCCCACATCCAGCTCTCTGCTCGGCAGGGAGCCTGCTTCCTCCTCTCTCTCTGCCTGCCTCTCTGCCTACTTGTGATCTCTGTCTGTCAAATAAATAAATAAAATCTTAAAAAAAAAGTAAATACATAAATAAATAAAATCTTTTAAAAAATAAAAAATAAAGAATAAGAAAAAGAATGTGCCTCACTGGGCTGGCCATTCCCCAAGCCCACACCATTCCTGTAATACACTCAGACATGAAAGCTTTTCTCCCTCAACTAGTCTAACTTTCTAAAATAGAGAAAAGATGTGGGTAGTGTCAAAAAGATCGATTTGATGACAAGTCTGAGTAATATGATATTAAAACCACTTAAAAGGAGAAATTAAGCAGGAAGGCAATGGCATACCCAGCTTTCCCAAACCAGTTGCCCATGACAGCCACGACGCAGGGCCAGCCAGTGGACTGCAGCAGGCCGTTTACGATCCACAGGCAGCAGTAGAATGCCTTGTTGTAGAAATGCAGCCATTCTGTGACTGTGCCAAAGACGAACACCTGAGAGACGAAGGGAAGAAAAGGGGACATGTGACATCCACACAGATGCTTTCAGGGACACCAAACTGCCTACCACACACACGTTTGTGCATGAAGAGACACATTCCAAGGTCTAGGGCCCGAGAGATCTGGGCTGACTCCTCAGATGCTTCCGCTCAGAGCAGCACCGAGTGGGACACCCATCAAACCACCAGCACCAACCAGCGACATCAAACACAGCTCATTAATGATTACCCCCACCTGACTCGTATTTTAGCTTCTAAGAAGTTAAGTCCTCATTGCTGGACTTCATGAGACAACTCTCTGTTTTCTCGTCCCTGGGTCCAAGTGCAGGGAGGACCACTGCAGGGCCTGACTGAGGTCATGTTTGTGTGTTCAGGGCAGTGCCACGTACACCACGGGGACCAGGGCACACCAGCTACGGTCATTATCGCAGCCACTGAGAGAACCATTGTAACCTCTGATCTGCTCGGAATTCAGGAGCATTACGCCAAGTCACTGCTTTTTTTTGGCATTTTGCTCAAGTGGATGTTTTATCAATAGTTGAAGTTTCTTTTGGAATATTATGCTAAAAACTAGTATGTACAATACTGTAGGATTCCATTCTGGAAAAAGCACAACTATAAGGAAAGAAAAATGGTCAGTGGTTGCCAGAGGCTGGGGCCAGGGGGAGGGGGGTGGTGGTGACAGAACTAGACTCATTTGGCAAAACTCAGACCTCTATACCAAGAAGGGCGAGTTTATGCACATACTTCAGTTTTTCAAAAAATATGAAAATAAAACAAAAACGTACACAGGCTTTAAAACAATATGTGTATATGTGTGGGTGAGCAGGCCGTGGACAGGTTTAGTGTGTCAACCTCTCAAAGAGCAGATACTGGAAAACAATAATAAAATTGGGTCTAACTGAACTCCATGCTTTTAGTCAACCAACAAAAATTCCTCACCAGGAGCTAGGAAACAAAAAAAGATGCATCAGATGTGGATCTTGGGCTCTCCCACACCTCATTAGCCCAGTGTTGTCCACATGCCTCGCACACAGAAGCCCATATAAACGTCCCTACCAGCCCCGGTGGGAGGCTTTCAAACAAGGAGGCTGGAGCACACAGCAACCACGCCTAGGAAATGGCAGACAAGGGAAAGACACCCCGGAAGTCCAGGTCTTGGTAAATCTGTGACCTCAACCACTGTGCCACAGACTCCTAGGGAAAGCAAGAGTGACACAGAAATGAGTGGCCTAAGTCATCCCCAACCTCAGTGCCTTCAAAGAAATACAGGTGGGAAAGCACAGAAGAGGAACCGATTCCCTTCAAGAATGAGGAGGTCTGGGGCGCCTGGGTGGCTCAGTGGGTTGAAGCCTCTGCCTTTGGCTCAGGTCATGATCCCAGGGTCCTGGGATCGAGCCCCGCATCGGGCTGTCTGCTCAGCGGGAAGCCTGCTTCCTCCTCTCTCTCTCTGCCTGCCTCTCTGCCTACTTGTGATCTCTCTCTCTGTCAAATGAATAAATAAAATCTTTAAAAAAAAAAAAAAAAAGAATGAAGGAGGTCAGTAAAGAAGACACCATGAAGGAAGTGCCATTTGACTCATAACTTGCTGTTGACACTGAGTGAGACTATGGAGAGCTGAACAGAGCCACTCAAGGCAGGAAGATGGGCAAGAGCAAACACAGCGAGGCGGGAAGGCACAGGATATGGCAGGACCATGGGAAATAGTCTGGCCACAGCCAGGTGGTGAAGTACAGCGACAGACATGACTGTCAAGGCGGGCCACGACCCGGTTCTCAAGAGCACAGAATGCCGTGCTATTTACACTTGGCTCTTGTGCCCACTTCAGCAGCACATGTATTATTGATGGGTGGCTCTGGTGTTGAGTCACAGAAGGAACAGGATCCAAAACTCACTTTAAAAAGACTCGCCCAGGGGCACCTGGGTGGCTCAGTGTTAAAGCCTCTGCCTTTGCCTCGGGTCATGATCCCAGGGTGCTGGGATCAAGCCCCGTTTCGTGTCAGGCTCTCTGCTCGGCGGGGAGCCTGCTTCCCTTCCTATCTCTCTGCCTGCCTCTCTACCTACTTGTGATCTCTGTCAAATGAATAAATAAAATATTTAAAAAAAAATTTTTTTTTAATTAAAAAATTTCAAAAATAAATAAAAAGATTTGTCCAGGGGCACCTGGGTGGCTCAGTGGGTTAAGCTTCTGCCTTCAGCTCAGGTCATGATCCCACTAGGATCAAGCCCCACGTCAGGCTCTCTGCACAGCGGGGAGCCTGCTTCCTCCTCTTTCTCTGCCTGCCTCTCTGCCTACTTGTGATCTCTGTCTGTCAAATAAATAAGTAAGAATCTTTAAAAAAAAAAAAAAAAAAGACTTGCCCAACTGAAAAGGCACACACAGTATTAAAAAACAGAAGACTAATTTTACTTTTCTTTTTTTGGTTTTTTTTTTCAATGATTTTATTTATTTATTTGAGAAAGAGAGAGCATGAGAGAGAGGTCAGCAGGAGAAGCAGACTCCCGAGCAGGGAGCCCAATGTGGGACTTGATCCCAGGACTCCAGGATCATGACCTGAGCTGAAGGCAGTCGCTTAACCAACTGAGCCACCCAGGCGCCCCTAATTTTACTTTTCTATTCTACATACAGCAATGGGGATCAGTGCTTGGATTCTAAAACACCCAACCAAGATGATGATATTGATGATGATAATACCTTTTCAACTTACCACTAGCGCAGAAGAGCACATGCCAAAAGATAGAACCCATCGTAAATTAAGCCGATCTCCAACAATTCCACTGATGAAAAGGCCCTAAAAATAAAGCATTTTGTTTTACGGCTCTGAATAACACAGCCTGAAAAAAGGAATATGGGTTACAAAGCAAGAGGGAATTAAAACACCAACACGATTCAAAACTACACTTCATTCTTATGTCAGACTAGCTGTCTCCATCAGTTTCACACACAGTTCATGAAATGACAGTGCACTTCTGTACGCTATACTGTAAACAAACTCACGCTATACCGTAAACAAACTCATGCACAGAATTCTGTAATCCAGTGTAAACATGGATTCTACCAAAAGTAGATTCCCTTCACTGCGTAAGAGGAGACTGGAAAAACAAAAATAAAAACAAAATGAGAAAAAAAAAAAAAAAACAGGGGCGCCTGGCTGGCTCAGTGGGTTAAAGCCTCTGCCTTTGGCTCAGGTCATGATCCCAGAGCCCCGCATCGGGCTTTCTGATCAGTGGGGAGCCTGCTTCCTCCTCTCTCTCTCTGCCTGCCTCTGCCTACTTGTGATCTCTGTCAAATAAATAAAATCTTTAAAAACAAACAAACAAAAACAAAACAAAAAAAACCAGGCATACTAATAAAACAAGCACACAAATATATTTCATTTTCTAAAACAGATCCACAGATCAGTTATCTGCATTCCCAGAGGGGCTGCTCTTAGCCATCTGCATCCTGAATCAAGACATATTACAACGTGTCCTGCACGAAAGAAGCTTCTGGAGCACGGGCACTGCCTGCTTAATCTGACCCCTGGGTTTCACGACTTCACGAGGCAGGGAGTAGGCACGCAAAGACAGTCATCAGTTGAAGGTAAGTACAAATGTTCTGCCTTCTGCTCTCCTTCCACTGAGTGGCAGGAAATGAAAACCTGGGTCACGGGAGCAAGGCAGACTAAAGAGCCCAGGGCAATACACTAGGTTTCCTCCATAAATATATAAAATGAATAAACATCCTGACTGAAAACCTAAATCCAGATACAAGTGTTTCTGATCAGCTGACATCTGCATGAGAGAAAATTTAGATGATGTGTCTCGCTATGGTGAACCTGTCACTACCTCAAATGAGGCACCTGTAAACTCTGGATGGTGTCTTCCACAGCTGCCGCTCCCACGCCTTGTGCTATACATAGCAAAGGGCGTGAAGAAACTCTTGCAGTGTTTCAGATTAGGCAATCAATCCATCCCGTGTTGCTCCAAACACCTGCATGATGCCTGGAAGCTACAGAAGGCCGTGCGGCTCAACACAAAGAAGCAGTTCGATCACTGACGTTTCATGGCGCCTTTTATCTCCTAAACCTATTTAATCCCGGGGACAGGCATTATCACAACTCTACAGAAGAGGAAACTAAAGAACAAAAAAAGGTCAAATTCCATTTCAAAGCCAAGTTTCACACTGCTAGTTGATGGTGGTAGGGCTGGTCTTTGCACTAGACTACCCCGCTTCTTAAAATACTCCATAAAAGGCTCAAAGAGAAGCACCCCCGAGAGTGCTCCAGCCAAAGCCAGATGACCGTACACGGGCATTTCGTACAGAAAACGCCCAGGGTGAAGAGCATGGCTACAGGAGGCAGGGTCTGCTCTAATTGTTTCTACAAGTTTCCTCTTTGAAGAAGATAATCCAATAACTGCCCAAACAAACATGCAGAGAGTACTCTGGAACTTTTTCTGGGTATTTCACATCATCTGGACATTCGTAATCAAAAGGCTTTTTTACGGGACGCCGGGGTGGCTCAGTCTGTTAAGTGTCTGACTTTTGATTTTGGCTCAGATCGTGGTTTCGGGGTTGTGGGACTGGGCCCGTGTAGCTAGGCAGGGAGTCTGCCTGCCCGTCTCTCCCCGCCCGCCCCTCCCCCTGCCTGTGTGTGCGCATGCGCACTCTCACTCTCTCAGAGAAATGAACCTGTAAAAGACAAAGGCATCTATATAACTGTACACATTTTCAAGAGAGGCAGTCACACACTGGAGACACTGGGAGGAAAGGGAGGCCCACTGATGGTGCGTGTGTCCAGTGGCTACCACCACTTCCCATGGCCTCAATCGAGCAGCCACACTTGCTCCCTACAACCTCAAGGAGATCCTGGCTGTCCCCTCCAAGACTACCTCAGACAGAGAACTAGCCCCTGCCCTGCTGGTATGGCTCTTTGGCACCACCATCCCACAGTTCTCCTCCTCTACTGTTCTACCTCAGCCATTCCTCACAGCTCCTGCCTCTAAGGGAAGCCCTATGGCTCAGTTGTCACTCCTCTTCTCTATCCTCACCCAGTCCCTCGATGATTTCATCCAGTCTTATAACTCTGAAAATTATCTATATGCCAAGGACTCTAGAATTCGTACCACCAGCCTGAACCTCTACTTGAACTCCAGACTCCCCTAACCAAGGGTCTACTCTTGATCCTTTGCACAATAATAGGTAACTCACAGGTAACACGTCCAAAAGACACTTCCCCCACAGCCTCCGCTCCCCGTCGTCTTCCACTCTGTTGTGACACTTCCTCCCTAGAGTTGTTCTCAACACCTCTTTCTCTTGTGTTCCACATTCAACAGGAAAAAGAATTGTTGGTTCTACCTTCAAAACATAGTTAAACGCTCCTCTTCCCACCTCTGTTACTCCCACCTTGGATCGAAACCACCATCACCCTTCACCTCAAAACTGGAAAAGACTAACCTGCTCCCTGTGTCCGTCTCTGCCCCTCAGTCTGCTCTCCTGGGGCAGCAAGGGCGCCTGTCCAAACACAGGGCAGATCTTGGTACTCCCTGTGCAAAACTTTCCAGGGCTCCCGTACTCAGGTTAAAGCCAAAGCCCCAAACAAAGGGACCAAATTCTTAAAGGTCTGAGCCCCATACCTTCTCTGGCCTCACTTCCTATCACTCTGTTCTAGTCACCCTGACCTCACTTACCCACTTCAGGTCTTTGCTCAAATAGCCCCTCCTACCTGAGGTCTTGCCCAGCCATCCTACTTAAATTACAACTCCCACCCAGGGCTATTTATTCCCCTTTTCCTGCTTTTTTCTCCACAGCATCTACCCCCTTCAACCATACTCTCTATTTGCTTATGTGCAGCACTGTATCACTGTTTGTCTTCCTTAGATCCCATTTCAAGAATGTAAGTTTTATAAACTAGGGATGTTTCCTGTGTTGCTCACTGATGAACTCCCACAGATCTGGCATATGCGAAGTGCTCAGTAAGTACCTGTCAAACGGAGGGCTGGATCAATAAATGGATGGATGGAGGGACACAGAACATAAACTTCGGCAAATTCTAGAACCCCTTACAAACTTCATAAGGTTGGAGTCCTTTCCATTTACATCTTTCCTCCACCTAAAACCCCCAAATTCGAAACTTACCACAGCATAAGAAAAGAGGAAAATAGTGTCCAGGGTCCCGAGGAAAAGAGTGGCTTCCTCTGCGCTGGGAAACAAATGGTTGCAGCTCCAGATCTACAGCAACACAACAAGAACCCCGTCAGGCCCCCCTGGTGCCAGGCCGTCCTTCGTCCTCCTCAGAGCGCCCACATCTACAGCCTCTGCCCACCCTCAGAGAATCCTGCAGAGGCTGAAGAGAGGAAACCGGCACTCCGCAGGTAAGGAAACACATAAAGGTCTGCAAGGTCAAAGCTATTTGCACAATACTAAAATGTTATCTGCTTTTGCCCTTTAACTTCTCCATTGATGGTGCAAACGCAGGGGAGGGGGGGGTAAAACTCCTGTGGCTCAGGAGGAGTCAAGGCAGTTACACTCCATCGTACCATTCACTACTATAAAAATAATAATAGTAATCGCTATATTTATTGCCATGGTCACAGTTTATTTTTTGTTTTAAAGATTTTATTTATTTATTTGACAGAGAGAGATCACAACTAGGCAGAGAGGCAGGCAGAGAGAGAGAGGAGAAAGCAGGCTCCCTGCCGAGCAGAGAGCCTGATGCAGAACTTGATCCCAGGGCCCTGAGATCATGACCTGAGCCGAAGGCAGAGGTTAACCCACCAAGCCACCCAGGTGCCCCGCCATGATCACAGTCTAAAAAAAAAAAAAGCCAGGGAAGCCTGGGTGGCTCAGTTGTTAGGCGTTTGCCTTCAGCCATGCAATTGAGTTCCCCTACGGGTTTCCTGCTCAGCGGGAAGCCTTCTCCCTCTTCCCCTGCTTGTGTTCCCTCTCTCACTCAGCCTCTGTCCATCAAATAAATAAATAAAATCTTTAAAAAAAAAAAAAAAAGCCAATTTCACTTGGGAACATCCTTGCTACATGCTAGATGCTCAATAAATATTTGTTGAGTAGGAGGGCGCCTGGGTGGCTGGACCCGTTGAGCACTGGACTCTTGATTGTCAGCTCAGGTCATGATCTTAGGGTCATGAGATTGAGCCCCATGGGCTCCACGCTCAGCACAGACTCTGCTTGTCCCTCTCCCCTTAGTCCACCCTGCCTCACACACACGCTAAAATATAGAAATCTTTAAAAATAATTTCTTGAGCAGTGAGAAGTATTAATTTTATTAAATGTGGCCCCTGAGTGTACTTCTTTTTAATAATGAACTCTGTGTGCTGGAGTGGAGAGTGGGCCCCAGCACTCAGCACACCGAACTCCCAGGCCAGCCAGTCCTGAGGGAAAGCACCTGGGCAGCTGTGCAGGGGCGAGCAAGGAGGCTGTTTCCTACTTGAAAGAAGGACTGACAGACAAGCTCTCGTTATTCAGATTTAGGTATCTGGCAGATACTTCCTCAGAAAAGAATGAAATAAGCTTATCACTTTAGAATCCAATGGAAGTAAAGACAGACAAATGGATCTTAATGTAAGGGTATAAAAAGTTAATTGATACGATTTCAGATTCCACATGGCAACTAACCTTTAAGAAATTGCCACTTGTCAAATTCTGGTGTAGTATCAAAGATGAATGCCCACAATTAACTGAAAAAGCTATTAAAATAGTTCTCCCCTTCCCACTATGTTATCTGTTAAAGGCCAAATTCTCTTCCTATAGTTCAAAGGATCATGTTGCAAGACACCAAATCCAGAGGCAGACATGAAAATCTACCTTCTATTAAGCCAGACATGAGATCTGCAAAAATGTAAATCAATGTCACTCTCCTCACGAAGTGCTTTTGTTTCAAAAAATCATTTTTCATAAAATGTTACTGATGTTAACACACTACGGGTTTATTTCACTCACTTATAAATAACTAAAAAGCCAAGGTATTTTTTAAGATTTTATTTATTTTAGAGGTGGGGGAGAGGAAGAGGAAGATGGAGAGAATCTCAAGCAGATTCTGTGCTGAGTGTGGAACCCAATGTAGGGTTCGACCCCAAGCCCCTGAGGTCATGACCTGAGCTTAAATCAAGAGGTGAACGCTTCAATAGAGCCACCCAGGCATCCCTCCCCTTTTTATTGTAGAAAACTGATGTTTTTTTTTTTTTTTTTCAATTTCTCAGTTTTAATTTCTAAAGCAGTAAGTATCTAAAAATATGAACCCACATAACCGAAAGCTCTTTGGGATCTTCACAGCAAAAATTCAGAGAACTACTAGAACAAATGATTTCTGAGACAGGTTGTTACAGAAAGGAAATTCTGACTTTAGAGTATTAAGAAGAAAAATCACGGGGCGCCTGGGTGGCTCAGTGGGTTAAAGCCTCTGCCTTCAGCTCGGATCGTGATCCCAGGGTCCTGGGATCGAGCCCCGCATCGGGCTCTCTGGTCCGCGGAGGGCCTGCTTCCTCCTCTCTCTCTGCCTGCCTCCCTGCCTGCTTGTGATCTCTCTCTCTGTCAAATGAATAAATAAAATCTTTAAGAAAAAAAAAAAAAAGAATAAAAATCACAATCAGCAATAAGAAAAAATCTTTAAAAGAAAGTAAAATGATAAAAGAATATATAAAGTGTGATTCTAAAGGACTGGGACTCATTTCTGTGTGGCTTATGGCACCGGTCTTGCTCCTTTAACCCCACCTCACATACTGCTGTCGTCATGGAGAAGAGCCTACAAAGCTAAGATCCATCAGTATTTCAGTGCACTAAGTAGGGCCCTAAAGTTCTCCAATTAGAGTTATTTTGCCACATTTTCCCTCAGACCACAATCTTTGACCCTGATACTCATCAGGACCCAGGGCCAAGCCCTGTTGGGCACACACCAGTATGAGCTAGAGACAGCAGACTCAAGCAGCTGCTCAAAGTTTCTGGAGTTTTCTTTATTCTCTCAAGATGTCACCAAAACTCCCTGCACATGTGGCTTCCACAAGAACTCACAGATTTTAAACAGCTTTCTTCTGCTTCACTGCCAGAATTCACCTGAAATATACTTTTGATGGCTTACTTAACAAGAAGAAAACAAAAACCAGGGGTGCCTGGGTGGCTGAGTCAGTTAAGTGTCTGCCTTTGGCTCTGGTCATGATCCCGGGGTCCTGGGATCAAGCCCCGCATCTGGCTCCCTGCTCATCGAGGAGTCTGCTTCCCCCTCTCCCTCTGCCCCCACCCCCAGCTTGTGTGAGCATGCTCTCTGTCAAATGAATAAACAAAATCTTTAAAAAACAAAACAAAACAAAACAAAAAACTAAAAAAAACAACTTAGGACTAACACAAAGATACAGAAAATAGGATAATAGAAAAATCTAGAAAAGAAAATTTACTTCAGTCATAGAAGTCAGATCAAGATGAGTACACTAAGTGAGAAACGGTCCACGTAAACACAGTGAACCATCCAATGTTTCGCGAAAGTCACTGACAAAATGACTTTACCGTGCTGAAACCCCACACACTTCAGTGGTTTAAGCTGGCCTGCGTGTATGTACAATTATTTGAACCCACCGGCCTGTGTAAATGTGGGGTTTTCCTGTGTCTGGCGGGGAGGGTTTGCACGAACCTACGAGAACAGCTGTGTGCTAAGGCACTTCCTGGAAACACGAAATTGCCTGCTTATACCAACAGTGACAGTGTGGGTTTCCTAAGCGAGAAGGTTCGTCACCGAGTGAGGGCGAGGCATGAGGTGGGGACGTAGAGGTTCCAGCAGTGGTGAGCAGAGGATGAGCTAAGGCTGACCTGCGTTCAGGGGTCTGTCCTCTGCCTACCCCGAGTGGTATCAGTTGACAAGAGGTTCTTCAGGGTAGAGGGGCTGTGGACAAGCTTGAGACAGAAAGCTGAGGACACCCTGAATTCCGCTTCCCTCTCCTGGACAGTGGAGGTCCCCACACTACTCTCATGGAAGGACTGTACTGTCTGGAGAGGCAAGGCTTTTTGATTTAGTGAACAAAATTCTGTTCACAATTTTCAGTCAAGTTGTCCAATTTGTCAAATTTAACCGTTACCTCCTTATTATCTTTAAACATAGATTTTATGTTGTGTTCACTGGCTGTTTGCAATGTTCGTCTGAATCAGCAGGATCCATTATAAATTCTCAAGGTAAAGAGACTGTAGGTGCTCAATTCTTTTTGTAAAGCATCTAAGACAGCTATGCATAAAAATGAAGGTTATCATGAGTAATTTCTGACAATGCTGTTCAGGACACTTAAATATTTTTCAGAATAGGGGCACCTGGGTGGCTCAGGGGGTTAAAGCCTCTGCCTTCGGCTTGGGTCATGGTCCCAGGGTCCTGGGATCGAGCCCCGCATCGGGCTCTCTGCTCAGTGGGGAGCCTGCTTCCTCCTCTCTCTCTCTGCCTGCCTCTCTGCCTACTTGTGATCTGTCAAATAAATAAATAAAAAGCTTTAAAATATATATATATATATATTTTTTTTTTTTTTTCAGAATAATTCCACATAAACTGCCGGTTCTAAGAATGCTTCCCACTTTGGACAAGAAAGCAAAGTTTCAAAGTGAGGCCAAGGTTGACAGTTACAGACCCAGAAACACAGGAGGATGAAAGGCACAGACAGCGGCCCCACTCCCAGCAGTGGGCTTCAGGAAGGAATAAAACCCAGACCTGAAGGTCTAAAGGAACGGAAGGTCAGCACTGCTGTCCATGATGACAGAGATGGAAGTACAAAGATCTCCAGGATCAGTCTGAACTTAACTTCTATATAACCAATCCATCCAAACTACTTAATTCATAGTTCTGAATAAACCAGAATGGTGAAACCTGTTTTAGCAGCAATTAGAGTAACAAGCAAACATCGAAGCAGAAAAGTTAATTCGAGTCTCATTAAGAGCGAATAATGTGACATAGGCTATTGGCAGGGAAGAGTTAACACAGCAGGCCTAAGACTGCTCTCCTCCAAAGGGCCTACTTGTAAGGCGAGGCCCTGGCTGGCATCTGGGAACTGGGACTTTGGGAGGGTTCCCATCTTTTCCTGCTAAGAGTGGTTCACTGTACCTAAACTGTTTTTACAAACAATGTGGTTTATGTCGAACCTGCTTTCCTTCTGAGAGCCTGCAATTTTGTATGTGCCAGGCACAAGGTGCCTACATGACCAGTCCCAATAAAAACCCTCGGCGCTGAGTCTCTAATAACCTTCCCTGGCAGTCAAGATTCCACCGATGTTGTCACAACATGTTGCTGGAAGAATTACACCCATCCTGTGTGACTCCACCAAAAAAGCACTCTTGGAAACTTGCACTTGACTTCCTCCAGACCTCAGCCCATGCACTCTTTTTCCCCTTTGCAGACTCTGCTCTCTATCCTTTTACTGGAATAAACCGTAGCTATGAGTGGGACTGTAAGCTGAGTCCCGCGAGTCCTCTTAGTGAATCAAACCTGGGGGTGGTCCTGGGAACCCCCAACTCAGTTACCTAAAAAACAAACGCAGCCTTGGGCAGCATAACCAGAAACCCAGTGCCTGAACCAAATCCGGTCATTCTTTATACGAGTCAGACTATCTCTCCTCTGGCCTCAACGAGAGAAACCTAGGGAGACAGGTTTTCTTTGAATACTCAGCAAGCCATCATGCAGAGGAATCGACTACTATGCCCAGCTCAGAAAACCAAAGATCGAAATTAAACAGCAGAATACTTTTCCCTCCATTTAAGAACTTCCTTGAAGTATTAAAGCAGAAGGCCAGTGAGCATCTTTCAATAATGACAAAGAAAGATTCCATCCTGGCTGAAAGGTTAGAGCACACGACCCCTCTAAGGCCACTCCGTCTTAAAGGTTTGTTAACAAGTCACTTGATCATTTCGACACACGCACTGTGCACACAGCACTAGTCAACAGTCAGCGTGAAATCTAACCCTCTATTCCTAACATCTTTCTTTTTTTTTTTTAAGATTTTTATTTATTTATTTGACAGAGAGAGAGATCACAAGTAGGCAGAGAGGCAGGCAGAGAGAGAGGGGGAGGCAGGCTCCCCACTGAGCAGAGAGCCCGATGCAGAGCTCGATCCCAGGACCCTGAGATCATGACCTGAGCCGAAGGCAGCGGCTTAACCCACTGAGCCACCCAGGCGCCCCTCCTAACATTTTTCTTTTTAAAAGTTCCTGATAACTTAAATTCGAGGAAATCATTTAAGAGGGCTGCCTGGCTGGCTCAGTCAGAAAAGCATGCAACTCTCAATGTCGGGGTTGTAAATTCAAGCCCCACATTGGGTGTAGAGATTACGAAAAAAAAAATAAAATTTTTTTTAAAGATTACTTATTTACTTTTTTGCAAGGGAGAGAGAGAGAGCATACAAGAGACAGCATGAGCAGGGGGAAGGGCAGAGGGAGAAGCAGACTCCCCAGTGAGCAGAGAGCCCACTGCAGGGCTCAATCCCAGCACCCCAGGATCATCACCTGGGCCGAGGGCAGCCACTTAACCCACTGAGCCACCCAGGTGCCCCAAAACAAACTTTAAATAAAGGGGGGGTGGGGAAGAAAAACTGTACAAGAGCCATCTTCAACACATGAGCTCTGTGAGGACAGGCTCTTTTTTTTTTCTTTTAATCCTCTCCCTAGGCTTTTTTTGCTCACTGCCTAGAACAATGTTTATGCAAGACAAACCCTCAAGAAGCAACTGACTGAGTAACCTAATCACATTTTGAGGGGACAGTCCTATAACATTCAGATATCCATCAACTTTTAATTGATCTAAATAGGGGGAAATATTCTAAGAAATAAGACCTGTTGTGGCAACTGGGTGGCTCGGTTGGTTAGGTGACTGCCTTTGGCTCTGGCTCTGGCCAGGGTCCTAGGATCGAGCCCTGCCTCAGGCTCCCTGCTTGGCAGGGGTGTGCTTCTCCCTCTCCCTCTGCCATTCCCACTGCTTATACTCTCCTGCTCTCTCTCCGTCAAATAAATAAATTAAATCTTTAAAACCAAAAAAAAAAAAAGAAAAGAAATAAGACATGTTGGGGCACCTGGGTGGCTCAGTCGGTTAAGCATCCGACTTTGTCTCAGGTCATGATCTCAGAGGTCCTGGGATCCAGCCCCATGTTGGGCTCCCCACCTCTCTCTGCCCTATCCCACCCCCAGCTTATCCTCTCTCTCTCAAACGAATAAATAAAATCTTAAAAAAAAAAAAAAGAAATGCCAAGAATATTAATATGTATGTATAATCCCACATAAGCAGAACTCAAGCAATGTGGTAAAGAATGAGTGGAGTGCACTTTTGTATTGACTAAAGATATAAACAGCATCATCTCCATTCCAAACGTCATCGAAGGATTCACCTGATCCCTAATGAATTCAAGGAAGTGGATACATATTCCCTGACTTCTAGACTCTTACACAAGATACAAACAAATGAAACAATTAAAAAGTATGTAAATACTGAAATATTAAACTATGTAACACATGGTGTACACCTTTCAGAAGGGGAAAAAAATCAGTTGAAGGTGCGAAAAAACTTGATAGGAAAAGTAACATTTGAGGGACGCCCTGGCTGGCTCAGTCAGTAGAGCATGTGCCTCTTGGTCTCAGGATTGTGAGTTCAAGCCCCACACTGGCTGTAGGAATTACTTTAAAAAAAGGGGGGGGGGGTACCTGGGTGGCTCAGTGGGTTAAGCCTCTGTCTTCAGCTCAGGTCATGATCTCAGGGTCCTGGGATTGAGTCCCACATTGGGCTCTCTGCTCAGCAGGGAGCCTGCTTCCCCTCACACCCTCTGCCTGCCTCTCTGCCTACTTGTGATCTCTCTCTGTCAAAAGAAAAAAAAAAAAGTGGGAGCACCTGGGTGGCTCAGCCATTAAGCATCTGCCTTCAGCTCGGGTCATGATCCCAGGGTCCTGGGATCGAGCCCCGCACTGGGCTCCCTGTTCTGCAGGAAACCTGCTTCTTCCTCTCCCACTCCCCCTGCTTGTGTTCCCTCTCTCGCTGTGTCTCTGTCAAACAAATAAATAAAATCTTAAAAAAAAATTTTAAGAAGCGGCATTTCATCTTGCCACAAAGGGAAAAGCAAGACTTAAATGGATGGGAAGAAAGTGCAAGAGCATACGAAAGAACATAAGCAAATTCTGAGGCAGAAGTGATTACAGGTACTTGTGAAACTCGATTTAAAAAACCACCTGACTAGAAACGTCTCACTTCAAAACAGTGAGAGGGAAACTGCACAGAAGGGGAGAACAGGCCTGAGTCACAGCAAGCTAAGAAACAGGGCAGAACAGCTTGGGTTTTATGCCATAGGAAACATTCATTTCAGAGTCCCAAGCAGATGAATGAAACAAAGTAGAACTTGAGAAGAACTTAGGAGGTGAGCACAGCTCCCTTCCTGAACCCACCCCTGCATTTGCTCTGCTTACCTCTACAGGCAGTCTAACTGACTTGTTAAAAGCAGTTGGGGTCCACTGCTTAGAGATACTGACTTTGACGTTGCTAAAAGTTTTTCTTGATGCGTGGAGCAACGAGTAACTGCAAAAGAGAAAAGACACGCGGCTGAACGAATGGCAAAGAAAACGGCATTCAGTAAAATCCTGGATATAATCCCATTTGTTTTATTCAATTTTAGAATTCTTCTCTTAAAAAAAAAAAAGTAAAAGTACTGCTTTATGGGAACTATCAACTGAACAGTCTCTCCCAAGCAAAAGAAAAAATTAACTAGTCGTCTTCCATATGAACCCGTGTTCACTCCTAACTTATCCCTCCACCTAGAAGACAGATGCGTGACTGACCCCAAACCACTCTAAATCATGGCGGCAGTTCTCTAAAGAATTTTAAGTCTTTAACAACTGCTGGCCCCTTGATGCATTAGCCAGTAAGTAGCCTTCTCCTGAGTCCCGTCTTTTCCTCCTACTGATGCCCCCTCTCACCCCTCACAAATGGCTATCCCTCAAGCAAGCATCCAAGATTACCTATCAACTCTTACACAGAGAACCATCTCTTAGTTTGTGCCTTAAAACAAGTAAATCACATCATTTGTGGTGACTTCAGTAAAGATTAATAATAAAATCGACCCAGAAGAAATCATCAAAATAACTGAGTCACAGGGTTATAAGTAACACGGCTCCTAAAAACACACAACCTGGTTTGTGGCATCTATGAACCACTAAAGAGAGCCACTGAGGGCCACAGAATCATAAACACAAATGATCCTTTAGTCGTGCTAAAGCTCGGAAACTCACAGGAGTTCCTAGAGCTCCTCCCAATTGTCTTGGTCCATCTTTACTGCTCAAAGACGTACAGGGCACTCCCTGAATACGTGCACCCTTTGTTCTGAAGCTCCTGGTTTCAACAAATAAAAAACTGTATATTAAAACAGGGATTCTCAACCATGGCACTGGTGATATTTTGGGCCCCCCAAATTCTTTATCATGCAAAGATAGCCTGTGCACTGCAGGACCTACAGCAGCATCCCTGGTCTCTGCCCACTGCAAGTGGCACCCCTGCCCCCAGGGTGACAACCAAAAATGCCCCCAGACATGGAGGAAACATGGGCAAAATGGTCCTTGGAAACTACTTAGAGGTACCAGAAAGCACAACAGGAGGAATAACTAGGCTATTTCATGAGCCCATACCAATCGCTGCACTTGCCATGCCAACAACTAGCTCCCTCAAACAAATAAGCCCAAAAAACACGAGTGCACAGTGAGCAACGAACCTACCTGAAGAAGGTGAGCAGGAACACAACAACATGATGATGGCTGAACCGGGAGAACGCAGTCCCTCTTCGAAAAATATTTGGCCAGGCCATAGTCTTCCTGACCTTCCTTCCCACCTCGGACCTTGAAGTTCGGATAGTGAATTATCTACATCATTTCTTCTTTCTGAAAAGACAAAATGCATTATCATCATTACTTAAAATAGGCAGTCTCTCCAAAAGCTGAATTATTTAGACTTCTAGCCAGCCAGTCAGTATATTATCAGGCCTTGAAAAAAATCACCTGGGCTGGCTGACTCCAGAAAACTAGATTGATAATTATGTTTATAACAAGCCCTTGAAAAGAAAAATCCTTGACAAAAGATCAGATCCTAATGAAAGAACTCTCGTACAAACTGATAAGAAAGTCAATAATTCAGGGGCGCCTGGCTGGCTCAGTCAGAAGAACATATGACTCTTGATCTTGGGGTTGTGAGCTCAAGCCCCAAGCTGGGTGTAGAGACTACTTAAAAATAAAATCTTTCAGGGCACCTGGGTGGCTCAGTCATTAAGCATCTGCCTTCAGCTCAGGTCATGATCTCAGGGTCCTAGGATTGAGCCCTGCATTGGGCCCTCTGCTCAGCAGAAAGTCTGCTTCTCCCTGTCCCACTCGACCTACTTGTGTTCCCTGTCTCACTGTTAAATAAATATTTTTTTAAGATTTTATTTACTTATCTGAAGTAGAATTAGCAAGAAAGAGAGCATGAGCAAGGTGGGGGACAGAGAGAAAGATAAGCAGATTCCCCAATGGGCAGGGAGACTAACACAGGGCTTGACCCCAGGTCCTGGGATCACAACCTGAGCTAAAGGCAGACACTTAACCAAGTGAGCCACCAAGGTGCACCATAAAAATAAAATCTTAAAAGAATAAGACTAGGAAGGCACCTGGGTGGCTCAGTCAGTTAAGGATCTCCCTTCGCCTCAGGTCACAATCCCAGAGTCCTGGGATAGAGTTCTGTCTTGGGCTCCCTTCTCCCTCAGCCTGCCTCTCCCCCTGCTTTCTCTCTTTCTGTGTCAAATAAATAAATAAAATCTTTAAAAAAAGAGATAGAGAATCACTAATTCTGACAGAAAAATGAGGAAAGGAAATGAATAGGCAATTCAGAAGCAATGAAATGGCTGGAAGCTCCAATCTTACCAGTAACACAAAAAAGGCATACTTGCTTGGTTAAGGCAAGAAAACGTTTGCAAAGTTAAAAAAAGATTGTGCCCAATGTAGTTCAAGGTCTAATGACTCCTGAACTCTCATGTGCGGCTAAGGGAGGTGAAACGTATTACAGGAAGATAATCGAGCATGTTCATCAAGAGCCTTTGACACAAAAATCCAATTTCCAGGGATCTACTCCTAAAGAAATACAAGGTGCATTCAGGTCTAAAAACAAAGGTAGTTTTCACAGCTTGTCAAAGGAGCTTTCTTATATTAAAGAAATAAACTTTGTGTCAGTCATAAGGAAATGGGGAAAGAGGCAGGACCACTCCCAGCCTGTCTCCACGACTTCCTGTCAGTGCTCCTTGGTCCTCTCTGAAAGGAGCACTGCCCTGACAAACTAAGCATCCCAACTTCATGCCTCCAGTTACTAGTCTGCACAACCTAAAGATGCAATGAAAAGGGGAATGCGTAAAAAAAATTATGGTATAGCCACATGGCTGAATAGTTTATAATCATTTGACATGACGAATTAAGGCTTTTTAATGACATGAGAAAATGTCACATAAAAAAATGGGGCACCTGGCCGGCTCAGTCAGTAGAGCATGGGACTCTTGATCTCAGGGTCATGAGTTCAAAGACCCACATTGGGTGTAGATTACTTACAAAAAAAAGTAAGATACAACTTATAAATATAATCAACTCAACTCTATGTTTACATAATATTTACAAATAAATAGGGAATATACTAGTTCTCTTTGGGTAGCAGCATTATGGGTAATTTTAATTTTCTATACCCTTCCCTAAAAAGTCTACAATAAAGGCGGGTATTACTTTTACGATCAGAAGGGAAAACATCAACATCATTGGAAAAGTCCTGTAATTTACCTACATATTAGGAAAAAAATTAATTAATGAAATGACCTGTACGCTATGTGTACTACAATAGTCAAGGCAGGAGACAAACTCAAGAACTCCCAGTACTGAGGGGCATCTGGGTGGCTCAGTGGGTTAAGCCTCTGCCTTCAGCTCAGGTCATGATCTCAGGGTCCTGGGATAGAGCCCCACATCAGGCTCTTTTCTCGGCGGGGAAACTACTTCCCCCTCCCTCTCTGCCTGCCTCTCTGCCTACCTGTGATCTCTCGCTCTCTGTCAAATAAAGAAATAAAATCTTAAAAAAAAAAAAAAAGAACTTCCAGTACTAAAACTGGCAAATCACAGGGCTTTGCTTTCAAGGCTGTGCTCCTTGTAACTGCCATTATACTCATGTTTTCACTAGCCATAGGTTGGTAGATATAGGCAAACCTTACATGCCCACAGACTCAGCCAAAAGGTCATTCCTGAAACTTTTGGATAAAAGGTACAAAGTTGAGGTGGTTAAAATTATATCAACATTACAGCTGTTTTACTTACTGGCCATAAGCCCTTGGACAAACCAATCTTTATGAATCACAGATGGTCATCTATAAAATGGTGTATCTCTTCTGAGAGTTATGAGATTAAAATAAACAATGTATGTAAGGTAATTATATACGTAAGATAATTATTTTAGCCACTGACCTGCCCAGGATTAATCAGTCCCACACCAGCAGAATGTAGCTAATTTCACTTACTCTTTCTGCCTGAAAATGTTCACAATATAATGAGCCAAGTAGGATATTAAAATTCCACTTCCAAGACATAACAAATAAACTCTCTGTCTGTAATTCCAGAAAGTTACAAACCTGAGAGCTATTAGTGTCACTGCTAAATTTACCTCCAGCCCCTAAATTAAACATGAAACCCCAGTGGAACAACTCAAAGCTTTATGGAAATTGTAGCTCTATGAATTGAACACATTCACACCTCAAAACAGTGTACGGAGTACTTCAGGAAAGGATGTGATTTATGAAGTTCAGTAATTTATCAGGTAAAATAATAATTCCAAAAATGTACCCTCTACTGGATTGGGATTGCACTGCTCTGGCAATAATGGTTGTGTATTTCAAGGTTGTGTAGTTACATTAGTAACTTTACATGACTACCAAGCTGTTTGAGACCATCTGGATTTCATTTCTAAATAAACCACTTTTTCCTTAGCTAAAGTGACAGGAGAGAAAGGACTTAATAAGTACACCGGGAAAACAGTTTTAAATATTCACCTGCTATTGGGAGAATGCCACTTAAAATTAATCCTATTATACATCTGGTCCTAAGTAATTACAGTAATTAATAACAATAATAATACTTTGCACTTATATTCCCTGCATCACAGAAGTAATTTCTACTCATCCGTGAGCTCTGCGACCCTGGGGAAGTGTCAAGAGTTTCTGCCAAGTGTGAATCCACCAAGCACATCCTACTTTCTGAAGACCATTTTCATTCCTGCTCTAAATACAGACAGAAAAAATGTCTAACCTTTTTCAAGTGTAAGTAAATGCTGTTATAATCTAAAAAAACAAAAACCCATTTAAGTTTTTCTAAATTCATAGTAGCTTACCATTTCGTATTTTCTCAGTTAATGGATACTGAATATACAACTACTATATGGGAATAAGAACTAGCTTTTAAAAACAAAACTTAGGGGTGCCTGGGTGGCTCAGTGGGTTAAGCCTCTGCCTTCGGCTCGGGTCATGGTCTCGGGGTCCTGGGATCGAGCCCCGCGTCCGGCTCTCTGCTCGGCGGAGCCTGCTTCCCCCTGCCTCTCTGCCTGACTCTCTGCCTACTTGTGATCTCTCTCTCTCTGTTAAATAAATAAATAAAATATTAAAAAAAAATAAAAACAAAACTTATTAAAAATAAGATCCTTACCATCAAGAAGGATCTGGAACCACTGAGCCATGTTCCACTTTTCAAAACAAGCTGATAATCATTAACTCATCTGATTCATATTGAAGCTTTTTTGAGTCCTAGAAGATCACTCATACAAGATATTTTCCAGGATGAACACTCCACATTGCGTAATCAATGTTACATAAAAGATGGCTTCACATGTAACACGTCCAGACAGAAGGCAATCTCCCCTTACCAAACAACGCCTTGGGATATGAAGCACTCCAAAACTGTCACTTTCTATAGATATTCAGAGACCATTCCAACCCCACATCAGTAAGACTTCAGGTTGTCATGTATTAGGAACACTGTGGGAGACACAGCTAGAAAGATGGGGGGAAGGCTGACAGGAAAGGAGATGGCATGTGCAAAGCAACTCATCCCCCATGCCCATGTGACCTGACCCAATCTTCACCCCACCCCAACTTCTTATCTTGCTCTCTAGAAATCTAGATATGAGGCAAATGAACTTCTCCACATGGTCACCCTCCTCTGAGCAATATTTGCCTCAGACTCCTGACCACCCCCAGATGACCCTGCCTCCTCCGAGGTCTCTCGAGAAGTCGTCTTTCTTCTCATGGTCACTCTTCCTCCTCACAAGACTCCAGCTTCTCTGAACTCAGGCTGGCAGGGAAGGGAGATTCAGGGGGAGAGGGCCCCCTACTGGCTGCTGCCTTGTCACCTCCTGACCTTCCGGCACTCTACTCTCACTGCACAGACCCTTGCCTCGCTTTCCTTCTACCTCCGCATCAGTCCCAGCCCAAGAGCCAAGTGGCTCAACTCTACCTCCCCTGTCCTCTCCACCACCAATCTTTGCCTCTGCCCCACACTGAAAACCCCTCCATGGTCAAAACCCAGCCAGTACCTACATCACCTCCCCACACTAGACTGCAAACACCCTTCATTCTTTCCCTCTCCCACTTCCCACTCAAGAGTCATTTTACCTCAGCAAGGCTCCCAATTCGGTCACCTCACCATTTTCCCGATATCCATTATCCTCCTCTTGTCCTCATTTCAGTCTTCACTAACTTAGAATCTAACCATCTCCCTTGCAGGCTGTGTGCGCACGTGTGTGCGTGTGTGTGCGAGAGCGTGTGCACACACCTACTTGCTTGCCTCTGTCCTCCTTCCCTGCATCCAAGTAGCTGAGTTTTGCCAGAGAAAAATCACACAAGCAGGCCGATTTCACTTTTTAGATTCAAAACCACAAACCTCAAAGAACATGCAACACTGCCCAGCATGTCTACACTTCCCCAATTATTTTGCTTACTCAACCTCTAAGACGAGAATTTCACACTTCGCTCTTTAAAGTTCCAGCATCCCTCTCTCTCCTTCACCTCATACGATGGCTTTCTGCCAATGACCCCCCCAGAACTAGGGCTCTAACATGGACCCCACAGTACAGCCAACCATCCACCTGATATGCCTCCATGGATCTGAAGCAAGATTCTTCATCTACATTCCTCCCCCAGTATTTCCCAACTTAAATGATACCACCATTCCTCCAAGTTGCCCAAAGTAACCAGGACTTTTCCTTCACTTTTCCTTCTCTCTCTCAGCTTCACATCCACCCGGTTTCTAATTACCTCTTAAAATACACCCCAGATCTGTCCTCCTCTCTCTATCCCCACTGCCACCACCAAGATTAACCACCCTTATGGCCCACCAAGCCTACTGCAACAGCCTCCTGCAGGCTTTCACGATTTCTACATCTACCCTGCCCCCAACTCATTCTCCACACATCAACCAAAAATAGATTTTTTTTTTTAAAGATTTTATTTATTTGAGGGGCGCCTGGGTGGCTCAGTGGGTTAAGCCTCTGCCTTCAGCTCAGGTCATGATCTCAGGGTCCTGGGATCGAGCCCCGCATCGGGCTTTCTGCTCAGCGGGGAGCCTGCTTCTCCCTCTCTCTCTGCCTGCTTCTCTGCCTGCTTGTGATCTCTCTCTTTCTGTCAAATAAATAAATAAAATCTTAAAAAAAAATATTTTATTTATTTGAGAGAGAGCAGGAGCAGGGTGGGGGAGGGGGGACAGGAGCAGAGGGAGAGGGAGAAGCAGACTCCCCACTGAGCAGGGAGCCTAATGTGGGGCTCGATCCCAGGACCCTGGGATCATGACCTGAGCCCAAGGCAGACGCTTAACTGACTGAGCCACCCAAGCGCCTCCAGAAATAGATCTTAAAACATACATCAGCTCTCATTCCTCTGCTCAAAACACACTGATGGCTTCCCAAGACTCAGATAAAAATACAAAACTCTTTGCCATGGCCTTCAAAGCCTGAATACCCCCAGTCCTCCATAGTAAAATAAGAAGGTTAAGGCAGGGGGGAGAGCAGTGGAGCTGACAGTTGTGGCTGTTAAAAGGAGGCTAGGGATGAAGGAGACTGCCTGAGGCAATGCTTTTTGAGAGTTTTTTTAATTGTTTTATTGATTTTCAATAGGTTATACATACATAAGGCAGAAAAATCAAAAGACATCAAAGGGTATATACAGTGATGTTTCCCTCTCTGGTCTCATCACCCTGTGCTCCTACATCCTCACAGAATCTACCCCTGTGCATACACTCAAGGCAGAGCCCCTCATACCCACACATCCACAAAAGAGCATATTACGTGCACTATTCTGCACTTTTTTCTTTTCTTCACTTACCAGAGGTTAGAGATCTCTCCTTATCCACACCTACAGAGTTAGCACATTCCAATCTCCTACCAGGTATCTGGGTGGTTCCCAGTCCTTTGCTAGGATGGAGCCGCCATACTTGGACACAGTGAGGATCTAACCCCTTTCTTCCTCCTCTTTGCCCACCTTCCTTCCCACCCTTGCCAGTACCACTCTTCCTCACTCATGGCAACCTCCCCACACCTAATTCTTTTCCTGTCCCTGAGCCATTTCTTGCTTTGGGCCTTTGCATTTGCTGTTCCACTGCCTGAAATGCTTTTCCCCTGGTTCCTTGCAAATGGCTTGTTCTTTTTCTTGGCTCATCTTCCAGTCATCTCCCTCATTGTGTGCCCTGATGGTCCTCTCTCTACAACGCTTGGGGCAGTTACTCAGTGACCTCTCTCATCTCTGTCTGCTTCTTCCCTTCACAGCATTGCTCCCAATCGAATTATTCTCATTTAACTGTTTACACGTGTACTGTTCGTCTGTAAGCTCCCCAAAAGCAGTGAGCTCATCTGTCTTAAGTCCACAAATGTATCTCCAGCACCAGTTATCAACTGATGCTTTCAGAAGCATCAATAAAGATTTTGTGAATGAATGAATCCTTTGACCACAACCAACAATGAACAGTTTCAAAGTGCCAGGCACTGTGCTAGGTACTTGCCCTGAACTTGTACATATAGTTCTTACATCTTAGAGATGAGAAAACAGATTTTTAAAGTAGTATCTCTCTTTTTTTTTAAGATTTTTATTTATTTATTTTGTGAGAGAGACAGAGTGAGAGAGAGCATGAGAGGGGAGGTCAGAGGGAGAAGCAGACTCCCCATGGAGCTGGGAGCCCGATGTGGGACTCGATCCCAGGACTCTTGACCTTAGCCGAAGGCAGTTGCTTAACCAACTGAGCCACCCAGGTGCCCTGAAGTAGTATCTCTTAATAGACGAAGCTAGCATTCAAACCCAGACCTGACCCTAGTCTCTATGCTATACTGTATAGAAAAAAAAGGTTAAAATATCCCAAGTTGGGTAAAACATAGTAATCAGAAATCGCTCACCTTAAGCTTAGAGGTATAAATTCAGAATGGAAACAAAAAACCAAAACCCTCACTTTATCAGTAATAGTGTAACCACTATTACTCAAGGAGTAGCACATTAGATGGGCAATGACTTACTTCTCAGACTTCAGTTTTTATATTTGCAAAGGAAAAAGATTATGTGTACTGAAATATAGAAAGGCAGCTGGAAGAGTATTAAACATATAGTTGAGTTTCGCTATTTTGACAGTACTGTGTATGTAGTAATTTAGCACCTCAGTGCTTGACACTTATGCAAATATCCTTTTCATCCCACATTATCTCATTTGATGCCATTTACTTGTACTACCTGAACCCTTTTACTCAAAACTGAAGTCTTCTGTAATTTTTCTCTCTTCTTAAATTGTTGCATTGTCATATACGTAAAGTACTTAACCTTTACCTGTAAAATTTTCTTGTCTTATTCTAGGGCTCCTAAAACTACATTCTTCCTACATTTTAAACATATTCCAAAGACGAGTAGTTTCTAAGATACAAATCTTTCCCTCTCGGAGCACCAGGCTGGTTCAATAGGTTCAACATGCAACTCTTTTTTTTTTTAAAGATTTTATTTTTATTTATTGGACAGAGAGATCACAAGTAGGCAGAGAAGAGGCAGGCAGAGAGAGAGGAGGAAGCAGGCTCCCCGCTGAGCAGAGAGCCCGATGCGGGGCTCGATCCCAGCACCCTGGGATCATGACCCAAGCCGAAGGCAGAGGCTTAACCCACTGAGCCACCCAGGCGCCCCTCAACATGCAACTCTTGATCTTGGGGTCTGGGTCTGAGACCCACACAGGGGGATAGGCTGTACTTTAAAAAAAAAAAAATCTGGGTACCTGGGTGGCTCAGTTGGGTAAGCATCTGCCTTTAGCTCAGGTCATAATCCCAGGGTCCTGGGATAGAGTCCCACCTCAGGCTCCCTGCTCAGTATGGACTTTGCTTCTCCCTCTCCCCCCACCCTGACTGTTCTCTCTCTCTCTGCCAAATAAAGAAATAAAATCTTAAAAAAAAAAAAAAAAATCCTGCCCTCCCCTAGCCAAAGACTTATACTCCAGTTAATGGTCAGTGCTGTGACATTTCATTTTGTCTGTGATGAAGAGGAACAAAACACAACCTGTGATGATACACCTGACCCTGAAAGCTAGAGAGAAAACAAGACATTGCACTGACTTTAATTTTTTTTTTAATTTTATTTATTTATTTATTTGAGAGATTGAGAGAGAGAGCGCGCACACCAGCAGGCTGAGTGGCAGAAGGGGAAGCAGACTCTCCGCTGAGCACAGATCCCGACAGTGGAACTTGGGCTTGATCCTGGGACTCCAGATCATGACCTGAGCTAAAGGGAGACGCTTAACCGACTGAGCCACCCAGGCATCCTTCACTTTAATTTTATAAAAGTACTGTTTCAGGTCATTTTCTTATGGAAATCAAAGATTAACAAGAGAGGGGGCGCCTGGGTGGCTCAGTAAGTCAAACATCTACCTTCGGCTCAGGTCATGATCCCCAGGGTCCTGGGATGGAGGCCTACATCTGGCCCCTGCTCAACGTTGAGTCTGCGTCTCCCCATCCCTCTGCCCCTCCTCCTGCTCATGCTCTCACACTCGCTCTCAAACAAATCAAAAATCTTAAAAAAAGAAATATACTGGCTAACTGAACATACTGAAGAAAAAAAAAAGAAGATTAACAGAAGAATGATGCTAGGTGAAGCCATGTGTAGCCCACAAAAAGACATTAAAATTCAAGTTGGAACACTGGACCCTCCAATGGGCCTCAACTCCCTCATTTAAGAATTACACGAGAGAAGTTTAGATAGTTCCTAGTATAGAGCCTGGCACACAGCAAACATCCACCAAATGGCAAAGACATATCCAGCACCGAGACACTGAAGAAAGGGAGCAATTAAGATTCAGATTTCCGTCACCCCAGGAACATACTCTTCTCCCTATAAACATTCAGTAATGTTACTATGAGATCACCTACCATCTTATATTTCAGGAAACACCAAAAACCCTGTGGACGCGTTCCCATTATCCCCTGCCAAAAGTGAGAATAAACAGACCACATTCTGCAAATACGAATACTGGGAGAATGACGAATAAGTAATGTGACCAAATTCCTTGACTGAGGCCACAGCAGTTGCCAGAACACGAAACTCGGTTATTCCATTACGATCCTTCTAAGCCCTCTGGCCTCCGCGCGTTTTATCCCAAAAGCCTCCCTTCCCAACCTACCTGAAAAGCGCCCCTTCCCCGGGTCTGAACGACAGCCCTGCTCCTGCACGAGAGCCCTCGTGGCGCGGCCCGTTCCCGACTCTTCCCGAGGGCCCTCCGCGTTCCTCCCGCTCCCCTCCCGCTCCCCTCCCGCTGCGGTCCTCGCCCGCCCCGCCCCGCCCGACCCCGCCCGGCCCCGCACACCCCGCGGGGGAGGAACGACCACGGGCGGCGGGGAGCAGCGACCTGCCCGCCCAGCCCACGGCGCCACACCCACCGGCCGCTCCCCGCCGCATCTCCGCGTCGTCGCCCTCCCGTCCATGGAAGCCCCCCGGACCGCCCTCGCGGGCGGCGCCCCCACACCTCACCCCAAGCCGGGCTCCGGCCCCTCCTCGGTCGGCCCCCGCGCGCCCGGGCTAGCGCACCCGAAAGCCGCTGCAGTCGTCGTGCTGCGGCCCACCGGCCCGCTCGCTCCGCTGCCCGTAGCCCCCCGCCCGCGTCGCCACCTCAGCGGCCAGGGTTTCCGGACACTCACGTGACCGGCCCGTCCCCGAGGCATGCTGGGAGCTGTAGTCCGACCGCGGCCTCACCTGCGGGCCGCCGGGGTAGCTGGGGGAGGCGGAGGGAGAGGGAGCACTGAGCCCTCGGTGAACCTGGATGCTGGGCTGGGGAAGGTCGGACGGTGGCCAAGAGCCCAAACTGGAAAAGGGCCGTGAGAGAGAAATAAGATATAATCTGGAGAGAAATACTATCTAGGTCATCTTTTTTCAGGAAAGCTTTACTCTGCTGTTTCTTTTTATAAGTAACAGGCTGCTGGGGCGCCTGCGTGGCTCGGTGGGTTGAGCCTCTGCCTTCCGCTTGGGCTCTGGTCTCAGGGTTCTGGGATCCAGGTTGGCAACAGGCTCTCTGCTCCACAGGGAGCCTGTTCCTCCTCCTCCTCCTCCTCCTCCTCCTCCTCCTCCTCCTCCTCCTCCTCCTCCTTCTCTCTCTCTCTCTCTCTCTCTCTATGCCTGCCTCCCTGCCTACTTGCGATCTCTCTCGCTCTGTCAAATAAATAAATAAAATCTTAAAAAAAAAATAAAAAAGGAACATTCTGCTAAGTTTGCTACTGACCAGCCAGCCATAAGGGCATAAGCTTTAGATCTTTGTTTAAATTAATTAAATGCAGTGGCCCCTGTAATCTGCCAATATCGTTCACCATTCTGCACTCCACCCCACCAACCCAGACAAATAGATGAAAGTGAAGATCCTGATAGCCTCTCGAAAAATTTAAAGGCCTTAGAACACAGGACTTGCAAGTGGAGTCTACCGCCCTCCTGGGCTCTCTTTCAACCATTGGGGAGGTACAACTTAAAAAAAAAAATCTCCCAACCCAGAAAACCTCTCCGTAAAGAGAACAGAGAAAGAAAATGGATTTACTACTGGATAAGCATTAAACCAGAAATGTGACGCTCACGGTGAACAATGCAAAAAAGACAAAGGAATCTCCCGCATATACAGCCAAGCAGATATTCCCTTACATGTGTGTTCTCAGGATAAACAATCACCAGTCCTCAAACAAGAAGACTTGACAGGACATTTTGTCACATTTTGTCCTAACTCTATCGTGGTAACGGGGGAGACTGCTTATGTTGGCTTATCCAAAGGAGAAACAAAGTTCTCATATCTTTAGGATAAGAGATAGTATTGCAAATTGGAGGAAGGCGCCCAGGGAAGTTAGGCTTTTAGCCACCCTGGGAACTGGGAGACTGGAGCACTCCCGGGACATTTATTTCAAAATATGGCTCCCGGGTCCTGAAAAGGCTCCTGATAGGAGACTGGCAAAAGATTATTTAGCCATTATGAAGCTATTCGTCTATTTGAAAGGGATCAAGAAAGAAATTATTAAAGAAAAAAAAAAAAGGCAGGGTGGAGGTGGGAGTTCTTCCTTAGTTTTTCTCTTCCCTTCATTCTAAGGGAAAATCAAACCTCTTATTTTCACTTTGTTCGCCTTTACACAATGCAATTGTAGTTCTGTTTCTAGTCGTTGGAGAGTGTGACTGGGAAAATGTGACGTCAGGTTGAGCAAAACCAGACCAGCCAGTTCACTTTTTTTTTAAAATATTTTATTTATTTATTTGACAAACAGAGATCACAAGTAGGCAGACAGGCAGGCAGAGAGAGAGGAAGGGAAGCAGGCTCCGTGCTGAGCAGAGAGCCCGATACAAGGCTCGATCCCAGGACCCTGGTTTCATAACCTGAACCAAAGGCAGAGGCTTTAACCCACTGAGCCACCCAGGTGCCCCAGCCAGTTCACTTTTATTTTAATACAATGTGGAGGAGTCCCTGGATGGCTCAGTTGGTGAAGCGTACAACTCTTGATCTTGGGGCGGTGAGTTGGAGCCCCATATTGGGTGTAGAGATTACTTAACAAAATCCACATATATGTGTTGGAATATTATTCAGCCTTTAAAAGGAATGAAATTGTGACACAAGCTACACCATAGATGAACTTGAAAACATTATGCTAAATGAAATAAACCAGTCACAAAAGGACAAATATTGTATGATTCCATTTACATGAAGTACCTAGAGTAATCAAATTCATAGGGAGAGAAAGTCGGATCATGGTTACAAGAGGCTGAGGGGGAAGAGGAATGGGAGTTATTGTATAATGAGTAGAGTTTCATGATGATGTAAGGGTCCTGGAGCTGGGTAGCAATGATGGTTGCACAATGCTGTGAATATATTTAATGTCATTGAACAGAACACTTGAAAATGGCTAAAATGGGGGCACCTGAATGGGTTCAGTCGGTTAAGCATCTGACTCTTGATTCCGGCTTAGCTGGTGAACCCAGGGTCGTGAGATTGAGCCCAGTGTCCATCACTCAGCACAGAGTCTGCTTATGATTCTCTCCCTCTGGCATCATGCTTAGCGAAATAAGTCAGTCGGAGAAAGACAACTATCATTTGATCTCCCTGATATGAGGAAGTGGAGATGCAACATGGGGGAGTTTGGGGGGTAGGAAAAGAATAAATGAAACAAGATGGGATCGGGAGGGAGACAAACCATAAGAGACTCTTAATCTCACAAAACAAAGGCTTGCCGGCGGGGAGGGTGTCGGGAGAGGGGGGTGGGGTTATGGACATTGAGGAAGGTATGTGCTATGGTGAGTGCGGTGAAATGTGTAAACCTGGCGATTCACAGATCTGTACCCCTGGGGCTAATAATACATTATATGTTAATTTAAAAAATTTAAAAATTTGTTAAAAAAAAATTCTCTCCCGGGGCGCCTGGGTGGCTCAGTGGGTTGAGGCCTCTGCCTTCGGCTCAGGTCATGATCCCAATGTCCTGGGATCGAGCCCCACATCGGGCTCTCTGCTCTGCGGGGAGCCTGCTTCCTCCTCTCTCTCTCTCTGCGTATTTGTGATCTCTGTCTGTCAAATAAATAAATAAAATCTTAAAAAAAAAAAAAAATTCTCTCCCTCTCTCTCTGCCCCTCCCCACTGCAGCTCGAACTCTCTCTCTCAAAAAAAAATGGCTGAAATGGTAACGTGTACATATTGTGAAACATCTGTTTGCATGTACATATGTGTATGTACGTGTGTGCAGAGAGGGTGTGAATAAAATAAGTATAGGGTGCCGGGGTAGCTCAGTTGGTTAAGTGTCTGCCTTCAGCTCAGATCATGATCCCAGGGTCCCGGGGGACACATTACTCAGTGGGGAATCTGCTTCTCCCTCTCCCTCTCTCTCTCACTCTCTCTCAAATAAATAAATTAATATCTTTTTTAAAAATAAAATAAAATAAGTATACAACTTATGTCACTACCACGCAGGTCAGGAAGCCCACACCATGCTCTCTCTGCACTCAACGTCATGTTGGTGGAGAGGGTCTGGTGGAGGAGGTCAAAATGGGGGAGGCAGAATCTCTTTCTCAATTTCCATAACCAGACAGACATTTTACTGTTTTATTTTTTTAAGATTTTATTTATTTATTTATTTGTGAGAAAGAGAGAGGGAGAACATGGCAGGGAGTAGAGGGAGAGAAGGGAGCCGGCAGAGCTTGATCCTAGGCCCCTGAGATCATAACCTGAGCCAAAGGCAGAGGCTTTACGGACTGAATGACCCAGGTGCCCTAGACATTTTACTATTTGATTTCTACTTCTAGATGTTCTCCAAGTACTGGGGCCGAGTCAGCTGACTTTTATTTTTCCTTCTCCAATAACCATTACCAGAAGAAGAAACCATTTTGACACCCAGCTTTGCTGACATGAGCATCCAATGGGTTTTATTTCCCGCCTCCCGCCCATACAGGGCGGTGGATCTTGACCTGTCCATCTTTTTCAACTGGTGGACCTCTGCCTGTGGCTCTCCAAGTGATGACAGGCAGTGACGACCTTGGCAGTGCCTTTGTTTTCGTGCTGTACCTGCCAGCACTGGGTTTATGACTCCAGAGAGAGGTTCCTGAAAAGTGATGTGTAAACGGAATATGGGGTAAGATAAATTATAACTTACAGGTTTTCTGAAGGAATCATTGGAAGAAATGCTCTTGGAAAACTCTCAGGGCTTCTCGATGTTTTTAGACTCAACCCATAGTAAGAGATACATTTTACATCACGTGGGACATCCATGTGTGGACACGCCTGACCCAAACAGTGTACAAAACAGCACTTAGCCCCACTGCTAGAGATACCTTCTGAAATTTTGTCCTAGTTTCCTCTGTAAAAATGCTGGTTGCGGGCCACCTGGCTGGCTCAGTAGGCAGAGAATAATGACTTTCAGGCTCAGGGTCATGAGTTAAGGACCCACGCTGGGTATGGAGCCTTTAAATATATTTTTTTATTTTAAAAGATTTCATTTATTTATTTGAGAGAGAGAGTGAGAGCATGAGAGGGGAGAAGGTCAGAGGGAGAAGCAGACTCCCCATGAAGCTGGGAGCTTGATGCAGGACTTGATCCCAGGACTCCGGGATCATGACCTGAGCCAAAGGCAATCGCCCAACCAACTGAGCCACCCAGGCGCCCTAGCATGGAGCCTTTAAAAAAAAAAAAATGCTGGTTGCCACCCACAAAAATGGATTTCATGACTCATTAACAGGTTTCAGCCCACAGCTTGAAAACACAATACCAGTTTAAATATTTTATCGATCCGATGTTTCTGTTAGCAGACTGATAAACTCCAGGTTTTCTCAGACCTAGAAATTAACTTTCCATCTGCCGTAGATTTTTTGAGAAAGGAAAACAAATGTTTTTCAGCTCTTTCTTCCCATGTAAGTTCAGAGTTTTGTTTTGTTCCCTTTTTTTTAATCTTCTCTTTGGGTCGCCTCCTTTCTCTCCCTGGCTCCCCAGAAAGAGTCAAGTCCACAAAGGAGTCAAGTGACTCAAGACCTAGAGCTGTCCGGTGCCTGGGTGGCTCAGTGGGTTAAGCCTCTGCCTTCGGCTCAGGTCATGATCTCGGGGTCCTGGGATCGAGCCCCGCATCGGGCTCTCTGCTCAGCGGGGAGCCTGCTTCCCTCCCTCTCTCTGCCTGCCTCTCTGCCTGCTTGTGATCTCTCTCGGTCAAATAAATAAATAAAATCTTAAAAAAAATAAAAAATAAAATAAAAAAATAAAAAAGACCTAGAGCTGTATTCTCCTTGGCCTTGCCCCCCTCAACTGGCCGCCCCACCCCTATCCCAGCCAAACGAGGGACCCCAGGAAAAACCGGGGGCAAGGGTTGCAAAAGAGGAGGTGAGTAGAAGGAAGGAACGGGGCGGCTGAATAGTTAAGGGGCCAGTCCTTTTCGTCCGGCTTTGCGAGGAGACGCAGGCTGGGAGGGCAAGCTGCGTGCGCGGGGCGCGCTGGCCACAGCCCCTTACCTTGCACTTGTACCCGAGGGCAGCTTGGCGCCCGGCTCAGGGGCGGTGGGAGGACTTGCGCTTTCCTTTCACTTTCTCAGGTCGCCAAACCTGACACCAGGGGACTGAACCAGAGCTCCCACCACGCCGGCCCTGCAGGAGGAAGAAAGGCGCGCAGGGCCGGACGGAAAACTAGAATAAAGTCAACATTACCTGCAGGCAGAGGTGAGCGAGCGAGCCAGGTAAGCGACAGGTGAGCCAGGAATGTGGAGGCTGCAGAATGCGGGACGGAGGGCATCGGTGGGTGCGCACTGCTCGTTTGTGCTTGCAGGGGGCACCGGCTAAGGTAAAGAGGGCTTTTGGCAAACCCCCAAAACCCTGGAAGACTTGCTGGGGGAATGGGGAAGTAAGGTTCCCGCTCAAGTTACAGTGATAGGACACCGGAAGTGGAATGGCCTTCTTTATTTGAAAAGCCAGAAGGAAAAAAGTGGTTTCACTGTGTCTTTATCTGCGGGTCATTTGCCATAGGTGGTTTCAGGGGCGTCCAAGAGAGGTGCTGGGAGCCTTCCTGGTCCGTTTAAAGTGCGGGGTTTTCTTTTTTTAAGATTTTTTTTTAATTTATTTATTTGACAGACAGATCACAAGTAGGCAGAGAGGCAGGCAGAGAGAGAGAGGAGGAGGAGGCAGGCTCCCTGCTGAGCAGAGCCCGATGCGACTGGATCCCAGGACCCTGAGATCATGACCTGAGCCGAAGGCAGAGGCTTTAACCACTGAGCCACCCAGGCGCCCCAAAGTGCGGGGTTTTCACTACAGATTGTGGGTCTATGTGCTTTTTATTTTATTTATTTTTTTTTAAAGATTTTTATTTATTTATTTGACAGAGAGAGATCACAAGCAGGCAGAGAGGCAGGCAGAGGGAGAGGAAGGGAAACAGACTCCCTGCTGAGCAGAGAGCCCGATGTGGGGCTCGATCCCAGGACCCCGAGATCATGACCTGAGCCGAAGGCAGAGGCTTAAACCACTGAGCCACCCAGGTGCCCCTCTATGTGCTTTTTAATTTGTGTGATGATGCAGACTTGTCCTCTTCAGAGAAAACTGAAAAATAAAACTGGAAGAAATGGAGAAAGGGGTCGTAAGGCAGGAGCAACGGGAAGCATGTCAAATTTAATCAGCAAATGGGAGTTTTCATGTTATTTTTATGAAACATTGGCTGAGGAGACCCAACATGCCAGCATGAAGGGCAGTTGAAAAGCCTGGGGATATTTGCCTTGAGGGACTGTGTGTGCTGCCTCAGATTTCTGCTGGGCTGTCATGTGAAACAGGAATCTGCCAAGTCCCGGCACAACCTGAGGGGATACAGATGGAAACCCCAGGGGGATGGAGTTCAACCCCCTGTAAGCTAGAGCTGGACATGCCAAATGGATTTTTGCAGGAGGTAGTGAGTTCCCTGTCATCAAACATTCCAAAGTGTAGGTAGATATGGAAGCAGAAATGCTGAGGGGGGAATGAAGTTTTGGGTGAGTGATTGTGATCAGTGCTCCCCAAACTGGGATGGTCATTGGAATCACCCGGGGAGTGTATGCCTGCGTGTGTGTGTCGGGCGGTGGGGGTGTCTTTAAATATATTTGACAGATCTCAGTTGGGCTCTAGCAATAGATCTAATTATCTCCTCTGGACACTTGTGACATAATCAGTTTGGAAAACACTGTCATCAGAAACTTTAAAGTTCTTTCCCAGTCTATAGTAAAATACGCCATAAACACTTGAAAACCATAGTTTTCATTTTGAGGTTTTTTTTTTTTTAAGTTTATTTATTTTTAAGTTATTTCTCTATCCAGTGTGGGGCTTGAACTCATGACCCTGAGATCAAGAGTCACGAGCTCTACCGACTGAGCCAGCCAGATCCTTTCCTGGTCAAGAAAACCAGAAGAAAAAGGCCACGTCACTACTCCCCAAACTGACTTCTGTCACGTCTTGCTGGTGGTCCTTGCTGCTGGTTGCCTGGATGGTCTGGTCTGTCTTCCCTAGCTGGGAGTTTTCCTCCCCTCCAGAAGGATGCTAGGATGACAGTGAGATGTGTCCACCAGCTGGTGAACGGCTGCTAGAACCCTCCTGTAGGCATCTCTTCTGCGTTCCACTGAGCTCAGGGCGCTTGACAGAGCCTGGGGCACTTCCTTGCCTCAGTGACGAAGATTTCAGTCAGTGCTGTCCTCTGATAGTGTCGCTTGTGTGCTAGGCCCAAAAGAGAATGGCAGTTAAACCTCTTCAGATTTTTTTATTTTTAAAAGATTTCATTTCTTTGAAGGAGAGAGAGAGAGAGAGAGAGAGTGGGGTGAGGGGCAGAGCAGGAAGCAGATTCCCTGATGAGCAGGGAGCCCGGTCACAGGACTCTGCAATCTTGACCTGAGCTAAAGGCAGTCACTTAATCGACTGAGCCACACAGGCACCCCAAACCTCTTCATTTTAAAGTAATGCCAACCCACTGAGCCAGGTGTGGGCGTGTGGGGACAGCTCCCCTGTACCTGGCCAGGAATTAATATCCTTCTCCCACAAGAATGTGAGTGCTGGGGTGCCTGGATGGTTCGATGGGTTGGGCCTCTGCCTTCGGCTCAGGTCCTGATCTCAGGGTCCTGGGATCGAGTCCCACATTGGGCTCTCAGCTCAGCCGGAAGCCTGCTTCCCTGTCTCTGTCAAATAAATCAATCTTTCTTTAAAAATGTGAGTGCTATGAATGAATAACCTCCCTTTCTCTTGTCCTGTCTTACATCCCGAGTGTCTAGGACAGTGCCTAGCTCACTAGAGAGATGGCTGGATTCCTTTTCTTCTAGGTGCATTCTAGGTGGCAGAAGCCATGCAGCTCTCCAGTTCCTCCAGGGGAGCAGATGAGAATTTTGACTATTTGTTCAAGATCATCCTCATTGGGGACTCCAATGTGGGGAAGACGTGTGTGGTGCAGCATTTCAAATCTGGAGTCTACACAGAGACACAGCAAAACACGATTGGGGTGGACTTCACCGTGCGCTCCCTTGAGATCGATGGCAAGAAAGTGAAGGTGAGAAAGGCATGGGGTTGGCTCCTCCTCTCTTAGCTAGAGTTCTCTTTTTTCTTTTTCTTTTCTTTTTTTTTTTTAGGATTTTATTTGTTTATTTGAGAGAGAGAGCGCGTGCATGAGTGGGGGGAGGGGCAAGGGAGAAGCAGTCTCCTTGCTGAGCAAGGAGTCGATGTGGGGCTCAGTACCAGGACACAGGATCTTGACCTGAGCCGAAGGGAAATGCCCAACCAACTGAGCCACCAAGGCACCCCTTAGCCAGACTTCTTAACACCAAAACATGTGCCTGAGGAATAAAAGATTTAAATATAAAACATGAAATCATAAGAACACCAGAAAAAAGATCATTGAAATATTTATCATTGTAGAGTGGGGGAATCAGCCTTTTTTTCTTAAGATTTTATTTATTTATATGAGGGAGAGAGACAGATTGAGAGAACGAGTGGGAAGAGGGGCAGTGGGAGAAGCAGACTTCCCATGAAGCAGGGAACCCAGAACGGACTCGATCCCAGAACCCTGAGATCATGACCTGAGCTGAAGGCAAGCTGCTTAACCGACTGAGCCACCTAGGAGCTTAGCAGCCTTTTTTTTTTTTTTTTTTTTTAAAGATTTTTATTTTTAAAGGCTTTTAAGTATTTATTTGAAAGAGAAAGGGAACACATGCAGGGGCAGTGGAAAAGGGACAAGCAGACTCCCTGCTAAGCACAGAGCCCCCAAGACCCTGAGATCAGGACCCAAGCTAAAATCAGAAACTTAACTGACTGAGCCACGCAGGTGCCCCAGGAAATCAGGCTTTTAAGAACAGAACCCAGAAGCCATAAAGGAAAAGATTGCTCAATCATAACTACCTAAAGGCCAAATTTATACATCTCTATATAATGATATAAAGATCAAATTCTACATCCACAAAAAATACCATAAACAAAGTCAAACGATGAATGATGAATTGGAAAGAAGTATTTGCAAATATGGAACTGACAAAAGGCTAATTTCTTTAATGTGAAAGGAGCCCCAGTAAATATCTAGGAAAAAGACTAACAACCAAATACATTGGACATAATTGTTATTTCATAAATTTGGTAAGAACCAGCTCAGAACCAGCCTCACTCATAATTTGAAAAGTGCAAATTTGAATAACAAAGACTATCTTTTACCCATTTGATTAGAAAAGATCAGAAAGTGTTTGTGAAAGTGTAAAGCACAGTCATGCTTGGAATCTTAAATAAAAACAACAGTAAAAAGACATTTTGGAGACAAGAAAATTTTATTAGATGATACACCAAGGAATATTAAAGAATACCAAGGAATTCTTGGAAAGCTGATTAGCTGTGATTATGGCATTGTGCTTATATAAGAAAATGCCCACTTTTGAGACTAATGAAATGACATGAAGCCTGGGATTTACTTTAAAATAACACCTCAAAGAAATCAACGGAAAGGGCTGGATAAAGCAAGAATGTGAAATCTTGTCTGGATAATGTCTATATGATGGTTGTTTGTTTTATTCTCTCTAGTTTGGGGTATATTTGCATCTTTCTTTAAAAAATTCATTTTATGGAGGCACCTGGCTGGCTCAGTCGGTAGAGCGTGCGAGTCTTGATCTCAGGGTCATGAGTACAAGCCCCACATTGGGTGCCAAGCTTACTTAAATTAATTTGTGAGTACAATAGTGTGAGAGGGTGAACAAACAGGTACCTTCGGACACGGTAGGAGGCTGTGCTGTGCCTGTGGGTGTCCCCGCGTGGGATGGTCATTGAGAAGGTATTTTGAGGACACTCCTAAGCAGACACAACTGAGCGGTCCTTTAAAATCAGAACGGGTAAGCCAGTGCTCTCACCTTGGGTGGGATCAATGAGCAAGTTCAAAAGGTAAACAAAATCTTGGGGCTCCTGGGTGGCTCAGTGGGTTAAGCCTCTGCCTTCGGCTCAAGTCCTGACCTCAGAGTCCTGGGATCGAGCCCCGCATAGGGCTCTCTGCTTGGCAGGGAGCCTGCTTTCCCCTCTCTCTCTCTGCCTGCCTCTCTGCCTACTTGTGATCTCTGTCAAATAAATAAATAAGATCTTTAAAAAAAAAAAAAAAAAAGGTAAGCAAAAGGTCAACACCAGACCCAAGACATTGGCTCCACCTCTCCAACTAAAGTGTCCCTTGGGTGGTGGGTCCCAAACCTGATCACCCTGAGAAACAAAGGGAAACACAGATCCCTGCGCCCCACTCCTGACCTAGTAAGTATCTATCTCCAAGTGAGACTCAGGAAGCTGCATTTTGTAGACAACTCAGGTGAGCAAGCTGCCATCAGGCACAGGAACTCCTGACGTGGACCCCCCTCTCCTGCCCCTTCCAGATGCAGGTGTGGGACACGGCGGGCCAGGAGCGTTTCCGGACCATCACTCAGAGCTACTACCGCAGTGCCCACGCCGCCATCATCGCCTACGACCTCACCCGACGGTCTACCTTCGAGTCTGTGCCTCACTGGATCCACGAGATAGAAAAATATGGAGCGGCGAACTTGGTTATTATGCTGATTGGTATGGCACTTTCCAAGCATTTCAATTTCCTTCCCTGGCGCCCTATGCAGGTGCTCAGCTTTCTGGGTGTTTCTGATGGCAAGGGAACGTGGAATCATGAAAGTGCTAGTGGTGGACGTGCCTCAGAAAGTGGTTGGCCCCCAAACTCCCATCAGATTCACTTGAGAATGTGGGGGGTGGGGTGTAAACTTGTTAATAATACGGATTCCCACCTGAGGCCCTGCCCTAGAACGTCTGGTCCTGGAGGCCCGGGATGGGGCCCGGGCTTCTCGATGAAGGCATCATACCCCAGCTGATTTGATGCAAATGCGTGTAGACCGCACAGGAAATACCCTGTAGGCTGAGGTTCACGGTAACAGATGGCTCCAAATCCCCAAGAGGGCTGTCCGGAGGCATGGGACTGTACCCACGAGTGACTCCTCACACCTGCTAGGATCCTAAGCAAATTTTGATGACCAAACCCCCTCAAAATGGACAGCAACTTGAACTGCGCAAAGGAAACAGTTGGCTTCACGAGAGCGGTCCTACTGTATATTCAGAAGGCGGTACCATTTCCATCCCTTCTCTGTAGTTTCAGTTTTGCGAACAGAGCTGCCTTTTCCTTCCTCCCATGAACACAACTGCTAAGCAGTGGCTGCTTCATTTTAGCAAGACGGTTTGGGCCCCTGCTACCTACTCAAAGTGTGGTCCGTGGGCCAGCAGTGATCACCAGCAGTTTGTGAAAAATGCGGTGATCTCAGGCCACATCCCAGACCTCCTGAATCAGAATCTTCATTTTAAGAGGATCCTAAGGACATTTGTAGGCAAATGGAAGTTTGCACAGCACAAGTCTAGACAGCTAGCTGGGAGATTGAGAAAGAGCTAAACACACCATGGTTTAATGGCTGATTCATCCTCTGACAAGCAGGTCCTAGCTCTGGCCAGTCTCTGAGCCTCAGTTCCTGGTCTGTAAAATGTGACTAATACTCAGTGGATTGTGGTAAAAATTTAATGAGATACTGTATATAAATTGTTTAGCAATTCCTGCCACCAAGTAAGTGTTTAATATAAACCGTAGGATGTGTTCTAGGAAGTTAGTTTGAGGAACTGTCTCATCTATGTTCCAAATAATTCAGGGCTTATGGTGAGGGTGCAACTTCCTAGGCCCTAGGAAAAGCCAGCATCGAGCCCCGGTCAGAGCAGGAGACACAGTGGAGCCAGCCTTCTTCTCCCACCACCTCCAGCCCACCCTGCCACCCCCTCCCCCGGCCCGACACGCAGGATCTGTGCATCCCCCTCTCAGGGCTGGGCTCTGGGAACCAGCCTCCTTGCTCTGTACTGTGCACCTGTTTCCTCTCCCTCAGAGCTGCTTTTCACGCCTTACTCGTGGAGTCTCTCAAAGCATCACCCCCCACCTGCTCCTGCCACAAGCCCCCTCATTCTCTATCTACTCACTCACGAGGAAACCCCATTGTCCCGTTCCTTCTTCTCATGGCTAAGGATGAACAGGCTGCTGGGCACCCCGAGGATGGGCGAGTCTGGGGCGAGGGGCCTGAGACTAAGAGCTTGGCGCCGGCGGTGAGGGCGGACAGGATGCAAAGTCTGGGCACAGGTGGGAGGTCACTGGCACATGTTCTGAGCACATCTGGCCCCATTCATTATTACTGCCATGATTGCAGAAAGGGCGTTTTGATTCATAGTTCGGCCTGTCATATGCAGACTTGAAGGGAACGCTGCTTTGAAGCTCATGCCACTTCCTCCTAACTTGAGAAACAGAGTCATTCCAGAGCCCAGAGTATGCTCCCTCCTTGCTGCTACCTCAGATCAAAAGCCCCAGATTCCACAGTCTGCTGCCAAAGTGGATGCCCCTCCCTTCCTGTACCCCCCCGTTCTCCGAGGGGGGCTCCCACATGGCAGAAACCAGGCAGGAGAGACTAGTGAGGCCTCCCTGCAGAAGGCACCTTGTCTCTTTGGGAGGATTGAGATCCCTCTCTCTCCTGTAGCTTCTCACCCGAAGGCCCCCTTTGGGACCAGAAACTTTTGTAATTTGACTTCTGATAAAAACATTTCTACAAGCAGAGTCCAGAGTTTGAGGAGTAAGCACTGACCCCAAAAGAGCCATATATTTCTTCCCCAACAACCACTTCTGGGAAGGGTGGAGGAGGATGCTCGTGGAGGTGTCCCGCATCCCACCGGGGACCAGGGCTGGTGCTAGGGAGCTGCTGGTGACAGGGGACTCTAACTGCTTACCCGACTCCGGGTACAATTCTGAGCCCTCTGAGTCGCTGCATTTATCTGCATTTCAGAGTCAGACCGATTGGGGTTCAATCCCCCCCTCTGTCCTTCCCCTCTGAACTTGGGCTCATTACTCTAATTTCTATTTCCTCATCTATGAAACTGATGCCTGCTTCAGGTGCACTGTTGCGCTGAATGGATATACGGGGAGCACTTGCACAGTGCTAACACCTCAGTAAGGGAAAGCTGTTATTTCCAGAGCGAAGAAGCTGGTCTGCTGTGCCAGACAGAGGGGCTACGAGGCCCCGTGGCTGGAGAGCAGAGCCGACGGGGAAGGCCACCCATGACCTCAGGGGCGGAAACAAACCCCACCAGAGATGGTAGGTCCCCGAGAAGGGACACTCGAGGGTGGAAAATGTGCATCTCACTAAAGGGAATGAAGCTGTCCCTTTTTTTTTTTTTTTTTAAGATTTTATTTATTTGACAGACAGAGATCACAAGTAGGCAGAGAGGCAGGCAGAGAGAGAGGAGGAGGCAGGCTCCCTGCCAAGCAGAAAGCCCAATGCGGGGCTCAATCCCAGGACCCTGGGATCATGACCTGAGCCGAAGGCACAGGCTTTAACCTACTAAGCCACCCAGGCACCCCAAATGAAGCCATTCTAATCAGACTTGAAGTTACCCCAGGAAGGTGGACTGAATCTCTTTTCCACTAAATGCCTGTACTTCCCACAATGAAGCAGTTCTTCCTTGGGGCCTGGAAGTTGGGCAAGGCAAAGTTGCATGCCCCAGGGCCCCTTCCCTTCTGAGCTGTCTTCGGAAGACAGCTCCCTTTCTCCACCATGCTGGGCCTCCCTTGCAGGCTCTCTCCCCAGCACCCTCCTCAACTAATTTCTCTGCTGCAGACACAGATGGGGCAAAGGAGGGAGTAAGAGATGCTAGGATGGGGGCGCCTAGGTGGCTCAGTGGGTTAAGCCTCTGCCTTCAGCTCAGGTCATGATCTCAGGGTCCTGGTGCTCAGCAAGGACTCTGCTTCTCCCTCTCCCTCTGCCCCTACCTCCCTCTCGTGCTTGCTCACTCTTTCTCTTGCTCTGTCTCAAAATCTTTTTAAAAATGCGAAGATGTTGCAGGATTTCCAGGAATCTCACAGCGGTCGTGGTATTTATACCCCAGTCTGTCATTCCTCACAATCATCTCTGTCTCAATTTACAATCGGTTCTAGGAATGCCCCCAAAGATGGCCAGGATGTGTCCGCTTATGACGTGTCCAGTCCCCAGGGCTGACACAATGGGTCTTCCTGTTTTTGTCTCTGTGGCCTCCGTGCCTGAATCTAGAAAAGTCAACTTGCTGTTCCCTCACAGAAGTGTCCTCGCCCCCACTGTCTTCCTTCCTGTTTCCACATTTCTTCACACAGGTGTCTCTTTCACGCGTTTACCGCAGCCTCTCGGAGACGTTCCTACAAAGGTCAGAGATGATTGTGACGGATTTGTACTCCTCCTCCTCTCCGGCCATTTACCAGAAGACCAGCCCCTTAGTAGTGTCCCTGTGTTTAAAATCCTTGGGGCCCCCCACTTCCCCCCTGGAGAAGGCTGGCTCTTACCTTCTCCTCATCCCGTCTGCTGATTGTGATCTCCCGGCTCTTGGTACCCCCCAAGAGGGAGAACTCAGAAGCCAACTTCCTTTACAGGTTACACAGGATGCTCTCTGACTTCCCTCAGCACCTGCTTTGTCCCCTTAGGATTTCAGGCAAACGTCCCACTTCCACTGCTGTTCTATTTCCAGGTCCACAATCTCTCAGAAAAGAACTCTTGATGCCTAAGATTTCAGCCTTCAGATCTGTCAGATCTTAGAAGACTGCATTCTGTGTTATATGACACCCTCAGTAGGTCTGGGCCAACACCCCGAAGTCAAATGCATCCTTATTTATTCAGTGCAGTGGAATGTGCAACCTAGTCATACAAAGCAGGTTGAATAAAAACTTCAAATGCCAGTTTGGGGCAGATTTTACCATCGGAGGAATGACCAAATACACTTAGGGGTTTCCCAGGTTTTTGGATCTGGGAAATGTGGACAAGGGATTATACACCTGTACTATGAACAACTGTTACCGTTCACCTGGTCCTCCGCCTGTATTTCTTCGTGGCTTGTGTCGGATCAGAAAGTTCTTGTAGTTGACTCAACTGTCTGTGTGTCTGTCTGGTCACCCTGACAAAATGAGATCTCCTTCCTTCTGGGCAGGAACCTCTCTCTGGGTGCCCCACACACAGCCCTTAGCAAGCAAGGTCTCAGACCGCAAGAGGTGAACACACGGTTTCTTTCCGTGTCCAGGTGTCCCGGCTCATCTTGGAAGTGTGCCGCCCCCAGTGGCGGGGAGGCCAGACACTGGACAGACGGGGCTGCTGACCTGCCGTGGCGATGGGGCAGGTTGGCGGGGAGCAGGTCCTAAATAGCAGAACCAATGCAACTGAGCCCAGCACCCACAGCTCTGAGGGAGGGATGCCAAGCAGCAGATCACACTCCCTGCTCGGGGACGCCCACTCCTCTGGCATCCCTTCCCCCACCTGCCTTCCAGAAGCAGCACTGTGCCCTGAGCTTCAGCCTCATGGGCTAGAGATGCACGTGTAGCCGTGTTGGAAGATACGTGCCTGAGTCAGTTTCCAGTGGCAGCTTAAAATCGTGGGAAGGTGTTCTCTCTCAATTCCGGAGGCCAGAAATCTAAACCCGGTATCACTGGGCCAAAACCAAGGCATCCGCAGGGCCACACCGCTCCGGGGGCTCCGGTGGCCAATCTGTTCTTTGCCTCTTTCAGCTTCTGGCAGCTGCCACAGATCTCTGCTGTGGCCACAACACCCAGTGTGTATGTCCCTCTCCACCTCCCCTCCTGCGTGTGTGAAGTCCTCCCCCAGCCCACGCAGCTAATCCAGGACCCTCTCCCCATCTCCAGATTCTTTTTTTTTTTTAATTTTATTTATTTATTTGACAGACAGAGATCACAAGTAGGCAGAGAGGCAGGCAGAGAGAGAGGGGAAGCAGGCTCCCTGCTAAGCAGAGATCCCAATGTGGGGCTCGATCCCAGCATCCTGAGATCATGACCCGAGCTTAAGGCAGAGGCTTAACCCACTGACCCACGCAGGTGCCTCTCACCTCCAGATTCTTAATAACATCTGCAAAGACCTTTCTTCCAAATAAAGTAATATTTAGTCTCCAGGGATTAGAACCTGGTTATCTCTGGGACTCAGTGTTCAGCCCAGCCCCGTAGGTAGATGGTGTCTCAGACTAAACACTTGTAAGAAAGATTCCCTCGGCCTTGAGCCGACACTGCCTGACAGAGGGATGGAGTCCTGCAGCCCGCAGCCCAGGTTTGCATTAGTGGGTCCTACTTCAGCCTACTTCAAAAAACAAAACAAAACAGAAAAATTAAGTAATCTCTACACCCAACAGGCAGCTCAGATTTACGATCCTGAGATCTGAGTCCCACGCTCTACCAACTGATCCAGCCGTGCGCCCCTGATAGGTATTCTTTTTTTTTTTTTTTTTTTAAAGATTTTTATTTATTTATTTGAGAGAGAGACAGTGAGAGAGAGCATGAGTGAGGAGAAGGGCAGAGAGAGAAACAGACTCCCCGTGGAGCTGGGAGCCCGATGCGGGACTCGATCCTGGGACTCCGGGATCATCACCTGGGCCGAAGGCAGTTGTCCAACCAACTGAGCCACCCAGGCTTCCCAGATAGGTATTCTTTTAAATTATTTTATTGAGGGGTGCCTGGGTGGCTCAGTAGGTTAAAGCCTCTGCCTTCGGCTTAGGTCATGGTCTCAGGGGCCTGGGATTGAGCCCAGGGCTCTCCGCTCCACAGGGAGCCTGTTTCCCCCTCTCTCTCTCTGCCTGCCTCTCTGCCTACTTGTGATTTCTGTCAAATAAATACATAAAATCTTAAAAAAAAAAAAAAAGATTTTATTTGAGAGAGCGTGTGAGTGGAGGGAGCAGCAGAGGGACAAGCAGACTCCATGCTGACCATGGAGCCCAACATGGGGCTTGATCCCACATCCTGAGCTGAGATCAAGAGTTGGCCGCTTAACCAACTGAGCCACCCAGGCATCCCCTAAACAGACATTTTTAATTTCAGTATATGTCAGTCCATTCATCTTTCCCCAGCGATACAGTGCACACCTCTGCATACTGTTCACGGTACGCTAGACACCTCCCTGACCTGAAGGTCCTCCTTCAACAACCTGTGAGTCTTTAACTGTTCTTTTTTTTTTTTTAAGATTTTTATTTATTACAGAGAGCGCGAGAGAGGGAACACAAGCAGGGGGAGCTGGAGAGGGAGAAGCAGGCTTCCTGCGAGCAGGGAACCTGATGCAGAGCTTGATTCCAGGACCCTGGGATCATGACCTGAGCCCAAGACAGACACTTAATGGCTGAGCCACCCAGGCGCCCCCTGTAATTGTTTCAAAATGAAAAATTTTAAAGGTTTTCTTGGTGGGGACAGTTATTTATGGGAAAAAGGGTCTAAGAAAGCTCCTTTAAAGGAAAAAACACCAGTTGAGAAACACCAGTCTGGCCCATCTCAGTTACCGTAGATTTGTAATAAATCCTGATGTCTGGTAGAACAAATTCTGTGGAAAACAATTTTACCTCTGGATTCCTGCCTCAGAGAAATCCAAGTCCAATGATTGGAGGCATGTAGGGGCTAAGTGGAGAAGTAAAGAGATGGGTCACTCTTCCTTCTATAACCATGTTCACAAAACCTGTCACTGAACATTCCGGGGTAACAGGGAATGTTCTATATCCTGCGAGGAATGATGGTTACAGACCACGTCCGTTTGTCAGCATTCACGAACTGCACACTTAGAGTCTGCATCCAACTATATTTAAGTCACAGCTAAATCCTGTGTTCATCTCACACCTTCAATCCAGCAAATCCTAATCACAATCCCCTCAGCTAGCCCAGGGCCCATCCCACCGTATCCAACCTTTTTTTTTTTTTTTTTAAAGATTTTATTTATTCATTTATTTGACAGAGAGAGATCACAAGCAGGCAGAGAGGCAGGCAGAGAGAGAGGAGGAAGCAGGCTCCCCGCTGAGCAGAGAGCCCGATGCGGGGCTCGATCCCAGGACCCTGGGATCATGACCCGAGCCGAAGGCAGCGGCTTTAACCCACTGAGCCACCCAGGCGCCCCCGTATCCAACCTTTTGTGGTTTGGAAGAGAGCAGAAAGAGAAACAAGATTTGAAGGAAGCAGCATGAAGCCCGAGACACCCGCTCTGGCACCGTTTTTACCTTGTTAGACTTGGAAGGAATGACTGTCGCTCCCTAGAAAAGAGGGGCTCCATGGGTCCCTCCATATAAAACACACCCCTCCGGCCCATTTCTCCAAGCTCCTCAAGATCTCATTTGACAGTGAATTAAGACAATGGCTCTGTTTGCATCATCAGGGGCTTCATCTTCAGTAAATCTGCCCACAACGGCTGTTCAGGGATGAATCATGCGTGCCCATCACTGAACTAAAATGTTTCTATTAAAGGTTCATTAAAAAACAACAACAACAACTCAGATTCAGTTCACGCATGGGACATCTGCCTCTCTCTTGCTCCCAGGGAACAAATGTGACCTGTGGGAGAAACGGCATGTCCTGTTCGAGGACGCCTGCGCCCTGGCTGAGAAGTGCGGCCTTCTTGCTGTTTTAGAAACATCCGCCAAGGAGTCTAAGAACATAGACGAAGTCTTCGTGCTGATGGCCAGGGAGCTGATCGCCCGCAACAGCCTGCACTTATTTGGGGAGAGCTCCGTGAACAGCCTGGCCCTGGATTCTAGGCCAATCCTTGTGGCCCAGGGTCCGAGGGAAAAGACCCACTGCTCGTGCTGAGATATGCACGAGGCCAGCCGCAGCCAGGAGATGCCGCGTCGGACGTGGAGGGTAGCCAGGTACCCTGTCGTCGGCCATGCAGCATTTCAAACCAAAGCAGACTTGCCGCTGGTCCTTAACCCTTCCCGCCCAGATGGGGACCACTGTGCCTGGGTTCACACCCCAGGCCAGACCTGCTGCCTCTGAGCAAAGCCACACCACTGTTTCTCTTGGCTCTGCTTTGGACTTGAAGGCAGGGGTAGGAAGACAAGGTCTGCTCTTCCTTATACTTCCATTTTGTCTCCCCAACCCTTCCAACCATTTCCTACTGAATTCTGCTTCTTGCTTGAAGAAGGTAGTGAAGAAAGAATAAAGGAGGGACATTAAGAGAGGGGAGAGGATGTTTAGAACATTCCAGAGTGGTTTAAAATTGCTGGGGTGCAGGGGAGGGTGTGGGGGTGGGGAGCCTGCAGTGAAAAACCAGAATGCTGTTCAACTTTTGCTTCCTGAAGTTCACACCTCAGGTCTTTAGTTTGAGGAGCAAAGCCTTGACATCAAGACCATCAATATTGTCTTGCCGAATGGTCAGGAGCCGTGAGATGGAGATGGAACTGATCTCACTCTATCCTAGTGGGGCTCATGTGATCACCCTCCTAGAATGTGGGAGATGCTGACAATTTCCTTCTACAATACCACTCACTTCTACAGAAAACTCACTTCTGAATTGAAATTCAGTTAGTCCTAGATGAATGTCAAGCCAATACTGGCCTCGCTGAGTGCCCCCCACCTTGCGGGCTATGTATAGAACCTGTGAATAAACAACATTGTTTTTTCAAAGTTCCCTGATGGTTGCTGCTGGGGCACATCTTGTAATTGTAGTAAGAACCACAGGGCTGGAGCAGCCGCAACCATGGCCCTGAACCAGGAAATGTCCGTGGGGTGGGGGACTCACCCCTCAGCACCACCCAGACGCTGGGACCAGCACAAACAGCCACTAACCATGGGCAGCTCCCAAGTACTTGAAATGTCGTTCATTCAAATTTGAGCTGAGCTCTAAGTGTAAAATACACACCAGAATTTGAACACTTAGCGCACACACACGAGAAAAGTATCTTACAATCATTTTATATTGATTGTATGTTGAAATGGTATTTTAGATATACTAGGTTAAATGAACATAGTAACGTTTCACCTGTTTTGTTTTTTTTTTTTTCACTTTTTAAAATGTGGCTACTAGAAAAACTTAAATCACGTATGTGGTTCACACCATGTATGTATCAGGCAGTACAATGAAGCAATGCTCCTCGAAGCGTAGCTCACCAACCGGACGTGTAAGACCAGCCAGGCGATGCTCGGTGCCAATTCTTGAGCTCCGTGATTGGACAGAATCAGGATCTTTTCAGAAATCCATTCACCCAAGCTTGCCGGCCAAGTCTTCCCCACACTGAAACGTTCAAATTGTTCCTGCGTAGAGATGGGGAGGGGAGCACGGTTAGGAGGAAGACCATAGAGAATTAATCACATTTTTTTTTCTTAAGAGTTTATTTGAGAGAGAGAGAGAGAGAGAGCATGAGCGAGGAGGTGGTCAGAGAGAGAAGCAGACTCCCTGTGGAGCTGGCCGCCCGATGTGGGACTCGATCCCGGGACTCCGGGATCACGACTTGAGCAGAAGGCAGTCACCCAACCAACAGAGCCACCCAGGTGCCCCAATTAATCACATTTTAATTCATTTCACTCTATTTCACTCCATATTTGTTGGACTCACCTTTAGGAAGAAAGAGGGAAATCTAGCTCCAGGCCAGAGAGAACACATGTCAGAGGAGATCGACCGCTTTCATCTTCCGGTTATTGTTCTAGAGGAAGGGTGAGGCACAGCAGCCTCTCGCAGGCAGATCAGGAACATATCCGTACGGAGCCTCTGCGGGATATTCCAAGGAGGCAAGAAGCAGATAGTCGTTACGAAAGGTAAGGAATGTAAGGAAAACTGCGTAGGTCAAGGGAGAGAGGGAGCAAAGAGGCTGAGATAGGAGAGTAACTCCGTTTCCCTGCGCATCAATCCCAATGCTCTGAAGACCTCATCACCAGCTTCCCGGGTTATGCCCTCTGGGGAGCAGCTGGAATTAAAATATTCCTCCCAGCAGGGTACACGTGTGAGAGCACAGCCCCCTGAACACCAGCATGCTGTAATTCACCAACCTGGGCTTCTGCCGAAATTACAGGACTTCCCCAGAAACCCTCAAGTACCCTGGAAAGGGACTTGAAAGGGTATCCAGCGTGGAATGATGGTGTCACTGAGTGCGGGGGCTCAACTCCTGGGGTTCAGGGCAGCCTCGTAACCCTGTGAAGCCAGCTCGGCAGGCTCCCCTTTAGAGGGCCTGGCACCCAGGAGGGCTATGTGTTGCTGAATTCTGGTTATTTTTTCACATCCCCAAAATTGTGTAGTTGTTAGGTAACAAGTTATGTAAAATTAAATTCTAGAAGGGACCCTTTGGAAGAATAGTTAAGATGGCAAAGGCCTCAATATTTTGTCTGCCAATGTCAAGTACGTTTCCATGTGTGCGGCAATCTTTCAGTTAATATTTCACCATTCAGAGACAAGTCCTGAATCTCTTTCTGCCGCTTCCAGTAGGCGATGGGAGAGGAATTAGGCACAAACAAGTCAGCTGCAAGAGATTGGGAAGCAGGGGACAACAGTCAAAAGGACGGCTGCCCCGAGCAACTCCACAGTCTTTTTTTTTTTTAAGATTTTATTTATTTGACAGACAGAGATCACAGGCAGGCAGAGAGAGAGAGGGAAGCAGGCTCCCTGCTGAGCAGAGAGCCCGATGCAGGGCTTGATCCCAGGACCCTGAGATCATGACCTGAGCCGAAGGCAGAGGGTTTAACCCACTGGGCCACCCAGGCACCCCACACAGTCTCACTTTTATTAGATAGAAACAATAGCCAACAGAAGTACCGATGAAGGTCAAACGTTAGTCACGTCTTGGTCAAGCAAGGAGGAGGATAAAGTTTATAGTTAACCAAGCACATTCAAAGGACTCATCTAACAACGGGCGCTTCTGGGAAGAGAAAGGAGCGATTAAGGGAAAAGGGAAGCAGGCGGTTTTCGTTCCACCCTGAGCTGACCAGGCGTTCCCGGGTGCTCAGCTTCCCTGAAGCAGGCGGCGTTCTGCCCTGGGTGGTCCCTCCCGGCCTCCCGCCCTGAGCGAGCCGGGCATCCCCAGCTGCCCAGCTTCAGGGTCGTATATCGTCCTTCTCCCCAAAGACCTGTTGCCAGTATATGTGTTTCTTAAGGCCATTATCTAAATGTGCTTGGCAACTAGTAAAATCCTCCAGGGGTTACAGTTTAAGTAACAAATTGTTCCGAGGGGCAGCAGCATCTTTCCCCTTCTGTTACTGGAAAGGTCCATTCATAGTAATGGGAATAGGATTACAACAGTATTAATAATGGCAAACACATAGAGCCATTACTGTGTGCCCAGTGCCATACCAAACACTTATATACTAACTCAGTAAATCCTGGCTACTATCTGTTGAAGTGGGTACTATTCATTAATTCCTATTTTAAAATGACAATATAAAATACTGAGGGATTAAGGTCACACAGCTCTAAGTGGCAGAACTAGGATTCCAAACAATCTGGTTCCAGGGCCCACTCTTGGCAACAAAGCTGTACTCCCCCAGCAGATAATGACCAGTATCAGATTTGGGTTCTGTCCTATTAACCCCTCATCATTAATACACAAACACAGAGAAATAATCCTAAAATACACTCTCAAACATACGTTTCACTATCCTTCAAAGTCATGCAGCTCTCTCTAGAAGCAGCTGGAGGGAGGGGAGGAGGGCAGTGTGGGAGAGGCAGGGGCCAAGTGGCCGGTTGGGTGGATTAGGCTCGTCCCATCTAACCACAGGGCAATTATGGAGGAGCCGTGCCTGAGTGATGCCTGGCCTAGCCCGAGTCCACTTCCTCTTGAACAGGGATGATGTGGAAAGTCCACTTGGCTCATATGCAAAGCTATCTGGGGGACCCAAGGCCAAGTAGGCGAGTTCTACCGTGGCACAAGGATTAGATGGGGAGGATGGAGAGGCAAGCACCTTATCAGTGGTCCCTGCAAGTTGCTTACAAACCTCCAGGTAATGAAGAGGTTCTTCACATCGAAGGCAGTAATAGTGTCTAGTTCAACTTTCCATTTTCAAAAATACCAGTGTTGGGGCACCTGAATGGCTCAGTGTAGTTAAGCCTCTGCCTTCAGCTCAGGTCATGATCTCAGGGTCCTGGGATCCAGCCCCGAACTGGGCTCTCTCTGCTCAGCAGGAAGCCTGCTTCCCCTTCTCTCTCTGCCTGCCTCTCTGCCTACTTGTGATCTGTTAGATAAATAAATAAAATCTTTAAAAAAAAATACCAGTGTCTGCTCAAGAGCCTGTGATCAATTATTGAGCAAACACGCTCCCAAGATCACTTAGTTGGCCTGCAGGGCCATCAGAATCCTGATAGATGATAAGGTGGTTTTGATAATAGTTTCTTCTGTGTTCATTCTTCACGAACACATTGCTTCATCTATACCCAAAAAGAATTGCCGAAGACTGGAAGCACCAGGAATTGGAGGTCAAGTACAAGTTAATAAGGAGCACAAGTAGTGGGTGATAATCCTGCTGCATGTAAGTTGCATTTACTTAGCATTATTACTTAATTCTACTTTTTTTTTTTTTTTTTAAAGGTGTTGATTGTACGTTCTGCACCCAGGGAGGAGCCCAATTCAGGGCTCAAACACATGACCCCCCCGAGACCTAGAGTCACACACTCCACCAACTGAGCAAGCCAGGTGACCCTGAATTTACGTGCTCTTACATGGTGTAGCAGGACGTCCCTAGAATTTAACAGACCCTAAAACAACAACAAAGTGATGATTTTATCCAACTAGTGTTTTCATTTACTGAGAATAAAATTATCCACACACTATGTCAATTTTCAGAAATGCTTGCAAACAGCTACCTGAAACCTTCTCATCTAATTTAGAAGCAAAATTCCAATTACAAAAATAAAAATTTGTAAGATC